GGGGAGGAGAGGAGAGGAGAGGAGAGGAGAGGGAGAGAGGAGCAGGAGAGGAGAGGGAGGAGGAGAGGAGAGGAGCAGGAGGGAGGAGAGGAGAGGAGGAGAGGAGAGGAGAGGGCAGGGAGGAGAGGAGAGGAGAGGCAGAGGAGAGGAGAGGAGGGAGGAGAGGGAGAGGAGCAGGGAGAGGAGGAGAGAGGCAGAGGGAGCAGGAGGAGGAGAGGAGAGGAGCAGGAGAGGGAGAGGAGGGAGAGAGGAGAGGAGAGGAGGGAGCAGGGGAGGAGAGGGAGGAGGGAGAGGAGAGAGGAGAGGAGGAGAGGAGAGGAGCAGGGAGAGGGCAGGAGAGGAGCAGGAGGGAGAGGAGAGGAGGAGAGGAGAGGAGGAGAGGGAGGAGAGGAGGGAGGAGGAGGAGAGGGAGGAGAGGAGGCAGAGGGAGGAGGAGGGAGAGGAGAGGAGCAGGAGGAGGAGAGGAGGCAGGAGGGAGCAGGAGAGGAGAGGAGGAGGAGAGAGGAGAGGAGAGGGGAGGAGGCAGAGAGAGGAGAGGGAGAGGAGAGGAGAGGAGCAGGGAGAGGAGGGAGAGGGAGGAGAGGAGAGGAGAGGAGAGGAGCAGGAGAGGGAGGAGAGGAGAGGAGAGGGAGGCAGGGAGAGGAGGAGAGAGGCAGAGGGAGGAGAGGAGGCAGAGGGAGGCAGGAGAGGAGGAGGGGGAGAGGAGAGGAGGAGGAGAGGGAGGAGAGGAGAGGGAGAGGAGAGGAGGGAGAGGAGGGAGGAGAGGGAGAGGAGGAGGGAGGAGAGAGAGGAGAGGAGAGGGCAGGAGAGGAGAGGAGAGGAGAGGAGGAGGAGCAGGAGAGGAGAGGAGAGGAGAGGAGAGGAGAGGGAGAGGAGAGGAGGGAGAGGGAGCAGGAGAGGAGAGGGAGGAGGAGAGGAGAGGAGAGGAGAGGAGGCAGGAGAGGGAGGAGAGGAGCAGGAGAGGGCAGAGAGAGGAGAGGGAGGAGAGGGAGGAGCAGGAGAGGGAGCAGGAGAGGAGGGAGAGGAGAGGAGAGGAGAGGAGAGGAGAGGAGAGGAGCAGGAGAGGGCAGGAGAGGAGAGGAGCAGGAGAGGAGGAGGGAGGAGGCAGAGGGAGCAGGAGAGGGAGGAGAGGAGAGGAGCAGGAGAGGCAGAGAGAGGGAGGAGGAGGAGAGGAGAGAGAGGAGAGGAGGGAGAGGAGAGGAGAGGAGGGAGAGGAGAGGAGGGAGCAGGAGAGGAGAGGAGGGAGAGGAGGAGAGAGGAGGGCAGAGGGAGGAGCAGGAGAGGAGCAGGAGAGGAGAGGAGAGGAGAGGAGAGGAGGAGAGGAGGAGGAGGAGGGAGAGAGAGGAGAGGAGAGGGGAGGAGAGGAGGAGAGGAGAGGGAGGAGAGGAGGCAGAGGGAGGCAGGAGAGGAGAGGGAGGAGGAGAGGAGGAGAGGAGAGAGGAGAGGAGGAGAGAGGGAGAGGAGCAGGAGAGGAGAGGAGGAGGAGAGGAGGGAGAGGAGAGGAGCAGGAGAGGGAGGAGAGGGCAGAGGAGAGGAGAGGAGGGAGAGGAGCAGGGAGGAGGAGGAGGGCAGAGGGAGGCAGAGAGAGGAGAGGAGAGGCAGAGGAGAGGGAGGAGAGGGGAGGAGAGGAGGGAGAGGAGAGGAGGGAGGAGAGGAGAGGGAGGAGAGGAGAGGAGAGGAGAGGAGAGGAGAGGAGAGGGCAGGAGAGGCAGAGGGAGAGGAGCAGGAGAGGAGAGGAGAGGAGGAGAGGGAGAGGAGAGGAGAGGAGAGGAGAGGGGAGAGGAGAGAGAGGGAGGAGGGAGGCAGGAGAGGAGAGGCAGAGGAGGAGGGAGAGAGGAGAGGAGAGGAGCAGAGGAGGAGAGGAGGGAGGAGAGGAGGGAGAGGAGAGAGGGAGGAGAGGAGAGGAGGAGAGGAGGGCAGAGGAGGGAGGAGAGAGGAGAGGAGAGGAGAGGAGGGAGAGGAGAGGAGAGGAGAGGGGCAGGAGAGGAGCAGGAGAGGAGAGGAGAGGAGGAGGGAGGAGGAGAGAGGGAGGAGAGGAGGAGGAGAGGCAGGAGAGGGAGGAGAGAGGAGCAGAGAGGGAGAGGGAGGAGAGAGAGGCAGGGAGGGAGGAGAGGAGAGGAGAGGAGGAGAGGAGAGGGAGAGAGGCAGGAGAGGAGGAGAGAGGCAGAGGGAGGAGAGAGAGGAGAGGAGAGGAGAGAGGGAGGAGAGGAGAGGAGAGGGAGGAGAGGAGCAGGAGAGGAGCAGGAGAGGAGGGGAGGAGAGGAGGAGAGGAGGGGCAGGAGAGGCAGAGGAGAGGAGAGGAGAGGCAGGAGAGGAGGGAGAGGAGAGGAGAGGGAGGGAGAGGAGGGAGGAGGAGCAGGGAGAGGGAGAGAGGAGAGGGAGGGAGGAGAGGAGAGGAGAGGGAGGAGAGGGAGAGGAGAGGAGCAGGGAGAGGGAGGGAGAGGAGCAGGGAGGAGGGGAGGAGAGGAGGAGGAGAGGAGGGAGAGGAGAGGGAGGAGAGGAGAGGAGAGGAGGAGGAGGAGGAGGGAGAGGAGAGAGGAGGAGGAGAGGAGCAGGGAGAGGAGAGGAGGAGAGGGAGGAGAGGAGCAGGGAGGAGAGGAGCAGGGAGAGGAGGAGGGAGAGGGAGGAGAGGGAGGAGAGAGAGGGAGGAGAGGAGGGGAGGGAGGAGAGGAGGGAGGAGGGAGGCAGAGGAGGGAGCAGAGGAGGAGAGAGAGGGAGAGAGGAGAGGAGAGGAGAGAGGGGAGAGGAGCAGAGGGGAGGCAGAGGAGGGAGAGGGAGGCAGAGAGAGGGCAGAGGGGAGAGAGGAGGCAGAGGGGAGGAGGAGGAGAGGAGAGGGAGGCAGGGAGAGAGGAGAGGGAGGCAGAGAGGGAGGAGAGGAGAGGAGGGGCAGGGAGAGGCAGGGAGGAGAGGAGAGGAGAGAGGGAGGGAGAGGAGAGAGGGAGGAGGGAGGGGGAGGCAGAGGAGAGGAGAGAGAGGAGGAGAGGGGAGGAGAGGAGAGGAGGAGGGCAGAGGAGAGGAGGGAGGAGAGGGAGGAGAGGGAGAGGGAGAGGGGCAGGAGAGGAGCAGGAGAGGAGAGGGGAGAGGGGCAGGAGAGGAGAGGAGGAGGAGAGGGAGAGGGAGGAGAGGGGCAGGAGAGGTGCAGGAGAGGTGCAGGGAGGGCAGGAGAGGTGCAGGAGAGGTGCAGGAGAGGGCAGGAGAGGTGCAGGAGAGGCGCAGGAGAGGTGCAGGAGAGGTGCAGGAGAGGTGCAGGAGAGGGGCAGGAGAGGTGCAGGAGAGGGGAGGGGCAGGAGAGGTGCAGGAGAGGCGCAGGAGAGGAGGGCAGGAGAGGGGCAGGAGGAGAGAGGTGCAGGCAGGAGAGGGGGGCAGGAGAGGTGCAGGGAGGGAGCGAGGTGCAGCGAGAGGTGCAGGAGAGGGGCAGGAGGGGGGCAGGAGAGGTGCAGGAGAGGTGCAGGAGAGGGGCAGGAGAGGGGCAGGAGGAGGGCAGGAGAGGTGCAGGGGCAGGGAAAGGAGGGGGCAGGAGAGGAGCAGGAGAGGGGGAGAGGCAGGAGAGGGGCAGGAGAGGTGCAGGAGAGGGCAGGAGAGGGGCAGGAGCCAGGGCAGGAGAGGTGCAGGAGAGGTGCAGGAGAGGGGCAGGAGAGGGGCAGGAGAGGGGCAGGAGAGGGGCAGGAGAGGTGCAGGAGGGGCAGGAGAGGTGCAGGAGAGGGGCAGGAGAGGGGCAGGAGAGGGGCAGGAGAGGTGCAGGAGAGGGGAGGAGAGGTGCAGGAGAGGTGCAGGAGAGGTGCAGGAGAGGGGCAGGAGAGGTGCAGGAGAGGGGCAGGAGAGGTGCAGGAGAGGTGCAGGAGAGGGGCAGGAGAGGGGCAGGAGAGGTGCAGGAGAGGGGCAGGAGAGGGGCAGGAGAGGGGCAGGAGAGGGGCAGGAGAGGTGCAGGAGAGGGGCAGGAGAGGGGCAGGAGAGGTGCAGGAGAGGGGCAGGAGGGGCAGGAGAGGTGCAGGAGAGGGGCAGGAGAGGTGCAGGAGAGGTGCAGGAGAGGGCAGGAGAGGTGCAGGAGAGGGGCAGCAGGAGAGGGGCAGGAGAGGGGCAGGAGAGGGGCAGGAGAGGTGCAGGAGAGGGGCAGGAGAGGGGCAGGAGAGGTGCAGGAGAGGGGCAGGAGAGGGGCAGGAGAGGGCAGGAGAGGGGCAGGAGAGGGGCAGGAGAGGGGCAGGAGAGGGGCAGGAGAGGGGCAGGAGAGGTGCAGGAGAGGTGCAGGAGAGGTGCAGGAGAGGGGCAGGAGAGGGCAGGAGAGGGGCAGGAGGGGCAGGGAGGGGCAGGAGAGGGCAGGAGAGGGCAGGAGAGGGGCAGGAGAGGTGCAGGAGAGGTGCAGGAGAGGGGCAGGAGAGGGGCAGGAGAGGTGCAGGAGAGGGGCAGGAGAGGAGGCAGGAGAGGAGCAGGAGAGGGGCAGGAGAGGTGCAGGAGAGGCGCAGGAGAGGGGCAGGAGAGGGGCAGGAGAGGTGCAGGAGAGGGGCAGGAGAGGGGCAGGAGAGGTGCAGGAGAGGGCAGGAGAGGGGCAGGAGAGGTGCAGGAGAGGGGCAGGAGAGGGGCAGGAGAGGTGCAGGAGAGGGGCAGGAGAGGTGCAGGAGAGGTGCAGGAGAGGGGCAGGAGAGGTGCAGGAGAGGGGCAGGAGAGGGGCAGGAGAGGGGCAGGAGAGGGGCAGGAGAGGGGCAGGAGAGGGGCAGGAGAGGTGCAGGAGAGGGGCAGGAGATGGGCAGGAGAGGGGCAGGAGAGGGCAGGAGAGGTGCAGGAGGGGGCAGGAGAGGCAGGAGAGGGGCAGGAGAGGTGCAGGAGAGGGGCAGGAGAGGGGCAGGAGAGGGGCAGGAGAGGTGCAGGAGAGGAGCAGGAGAGAGGCAGGAGAGGGGCAGGAGAGGGGCAGGAGAGGGGCAGGGAGAGAGGCAGGAGAGGGCAGGAGAGGTGCAGGAGAGGTGCAGGAGAGGGGCAGGAGGGGGCAGGAGAGGGGCAGGGAGGACCAGGAGAGGGGCAGGAGAGGGCAGGAGAGGGGCAGGAGAGGGCAGGAGAGGGGCAGGAGAGGGCAGGAGAGGTGCAGGAGAGGGGCAGGAGAGGGGCAGGAGAGGTGCAGGAGAGGGGCAGGAGAGGGCAGGAGAGGTGCAGGAGAGGGCAGGAGAGGTGCAGGAGAGGTGCAGGAGAGGGGCAGGAGAGGAGCAGGAGAGGGGCAGGAGAGGGCAGGAGAGGTGCAGGAGGAGGGGCAGGAGAGGGGCAGGAGAGGTGCAGGAGAGGGCAGGAGAGGGGCAGGAGAGGTGCAGAGAGGGGCAGGAGAGGTGCAGGAGAGGGGCAGGAGAGGGGCAGGAGAGGTGCAGGAGAGGGGCAGGAGAGGGGCAGGAGAGGTGCAGGAGAGGGGCAGGAGAGGGGCAGGAGAGGTGCAGGAGAGGGGCAGGAGGGGGCAGGAGAGGTGCAGGAGAGGGGCAGGAGAGGGGCAGGAGAGGTGCAGGAGAGGGGCAGGAGAGGGGCAGGAGAGGTGCAGGAGAGGGGCAGGAGAGGGCAGGAGAGGGGCAGGAGAGGTGCAGGAGAGGGGCAGGAGAGGAGCAGGAGAGGGGCAGGAGAGGTGCAGGAGAGGTGCAGGAGAGGGGCAGGAGAGGGGCAGGAGAGGTGCAGGAGAGGGGCAGGAGAGGTGCAGGAGAGGGGCAGGAGAGGGGCAGGAGAGGGGCAGGAGAGGGGCAGGAGAGGTGCAGGAGAGGTGCAGGAGAGGGCAGGAGAGGTGCAGGAGAGGGGCAGGAGAGGGGCAGGAGAGGTGCAGGAGAGGGTGCAGGAGAGGGGCAGGAGAGGTGCAGGAGAGGTGCAGGAGAGGGCAGGAGGGTGCAGGAGAGGGGCAGGTGCAGGAGAGGTGCAGGAGAGGTGCAGGAGAGGAGCAGGAGAGGTGCAGGAGAGGTGCAGGAGAGGGGCAGGAGAGGGCAGGAGAGGTGCAGGAGAGGGGCAGGAGAGGGCAGGAGAGGGGCAGGAGGAGAGGGGCAGGAGAGGGGCAGGAGAGGTGCAGGAGAGGGGCAGGAGAGGTGCAGGAGAGGGGCAGGAGAGGTGCAGGAGAGGGCAGGAGAGGTGCAGGAGAGGGGCAGGAGAGGTGCAGGAGAGGGGCAGGAGAGGGGCAGGAGAGGTGCAGGAGAGGGGCAGGAGAGGGGCAGGAGAGGTGCAGGAGAGGTGCAGGAGAGGGCAGGAGAGGGGCAGGAGAGGGGCAGGAGAGGGGCAGGAGAGGGGCAGGAGAGGGGCAGGAGAGGGGCAGGAGAGGTGCAGGAGAGGGGCAGGAGAGGGGCAGGAGAGGTGCAGGAGAGGGGCAGGAGAGGGCAGGAGAGGGGCAGGAGAGGTGCAGGAGAGGTGCAGGAGAGGGGCAGGAGAGGGCAGGAGAGGGCAGGAGAGAGAGGTGCAGGAGAGGGGCAGGAGAGGTGCAGGAGAGGAGCAGGAGAGGTGCAGGAGAGGGGCAGGAGAGGGGCAGGAGAGGGGCAGGAGAGGAGCAGGAGAGGGGCAGGAGAGGGGCAGGAGAGGGGCAGGAGAGGTGCAGGAGAGGGGCAGGAGAGGTGCAGGAGAGGGGCAGGAGAGGTGCAGGAGAGGGAGGGGCAGGAGAGGGGCAGGAGAGGGCAGGAGAGGGGCAGGAGAGGTGCAGAGAGAGGAGGAGAGGTGCAGGAGAGGGGCAGGAGAGGTGCAGGAGAGGGGCAGGAGAGGTGCAGGAGAGGTGCAGGAGAGGGGCAGGAGAGGGGCAGGAGAGGTGCAGGAGAGGTGCAGGAGAGGGCAGGAGAGGGCAGGAGAGGTGCAGGAGAGGGGCAGGAGAGGGGCAGGAGAGGGTGCAGGAGAGGGGCAGGAGAGGGCAGGAGAGGGGCAGGAGAGGGGCAGGAGAGGTGCAGGAGAGGGGCAGGAGAGGGGCAGGAGAGGTGCAGGAGAGGGCAGGAGAGGTGCAGGAGAGGGGCAGGAGAGGGGCAGGAGAGGCGCAGGAGAGGTGCAGGAGAGGGGCAGGAGAGGTGCAGGAGAGGGGCAGAGCGAGAGGGGCAGGAGAGGGCAGGAGAGGGGCAGGAGAGGGGCAGGAGAGAGGCAGGAGAGGGGCAGGAGAGGGCAGGAGAGGGGCAGGAGAGGTGCAGGAGAGGGGCAGGAGAGGTGCAGGAGAGGGGCAGGAGAGGGGCAGGAGAGGTGCAGGAGAGGTGCAGGAGAGGGCAGGAGAGGGGCAGGAGAGGTGCAGGAGAGGTGCAGGAGAGGGGCAGGAGAGGTGCAGGAGAGGTGCAGGAGAGGGGCAGGAGAGGTGCAGGAGAGGTGCAGGAGAGGGGCAGGAGAGGTGCAGGAGAGGGTCAGGAGAGGTGCAGGAGAGGGGCAGGAGAGAGGCAGGAGAGGGGCAGGAGAGGTGCAGGAGAGGAGCAGGAGAGGTGCAGGAGAGGTGCAGGAGCGGAAAATCGACGCATGCAGGAAATGAATTTTGCTGATCGTTTCCTTGGACGTTCATGCAGCGACCAATCAGAGAGCCGCAAAGTGGTCACGGGGACATTAGTGTCTGAGCGAGCAGACTGAACATACTGTAAACAGCCAAAACAGGAACTACACCAGGACTAACCCAGGACTAACCCAGGACTAAGCCAGGACCAAACCAGCATTGACAATGGGGGACAATGGGTTCTCATGCTCCAGTGACTGTAAACCAGCACAAGTACCATCAGTCTATACACTACACCCAACCAGAGTCACGTCCCTCAGCTTTAAACATGAGTTATTTAGACTAAAGTTACAGACCTGAGCTTTAAACATGAGTTATTTAGACTAAAGTTACAGACCTGAGCTTTAAACATGTGTTATTTAGACTAAAGTTACAGACCTGAGCTTTAAACATGTGTTATTTAGACTAAAGTTACAGACCTGAGCTTTAAACATGAGTTATTTAGACTAAAGTTACAGACCTGAGCTTTAAACATGAGTTATTTAGACTAAAGTTACAGACCTGAGCTTTAAACATGTGTTATTTAGACTAAAGTTACAGACCTGAGCTTTAAACATGAGTTATTTAGACTAAAGTTACAGACCTGAGCTTTAACATATTCACCCCCCCCCCCCCCCCCCCCCCCCTCCTGCTGTAGGGAGCTCAGAGTGGCTCTTCTGTCACAGTCTGACCCTGGGACTTCGGTCTCTGGTCCAGGACTTGGACCAGGCCTCACGGATCCTGGACTGTGTTGAGACCAAACTGATCCGAGACGCTCTGCTCCTCATCAAACCCAGTCTGGACTTCCTCCACGGACAGACAGGTCAGACCCGGACTGCGGTGTGTGACCTGACATTTTACCAGCGTTCTATTTACGAGGAGCAACACATGCCTCATGTGTGTGTTGTCTCTCTGTCTTTGTGTGTGTTTGTGTGTCTCATGTCTGTGTGTGTGTCTTTGTGTGTATCTGTGTGTGTGTTTGTGTGTCTCATGTGTGTCTCTGTATGTGTGTGTGTCTCATGTGTGTCTCTGTATGTGTGCGTGTCTCTGTGTGTGTGTGTCTGATGTGTCTCTCTGTATGTGTGCGTGTCTCTGTGTGTGTGTCTCATGTGTGTCTCTGTATGTGTGCGTGTCTCATGTGTGTCTCTGTATGTGTGCGTGTCTCTGTGTGTGTGTCTCATGTGTGTCTCTGTATGTGTGCGTGTCTCTGTGTGTGTGTCTCATGTGTGTCTCTGTATGTGTGCGTGTCTCTGTGTGTGTGTCTCATGTGTGTCTCTGTATGTGTGCGTGTCTCTGTGTGTGTGTCTCATGTGTGTCTCTGTATGTGTGCGTGTCTCTGTGTGTGTGTCTCATGTGTGTCTCTGTATGTGTGCGTGTCTCTGTGTGTGTGTCTCATGTGTGTCTCTGTATGTGTGCGTGTCTCTGTGTGTGTGTCTCATGTGTGTCTCTGTATGTGTGCGTGTCTCTGTGTGTGTGTCTCATGTGTGTCTCTGTATGTGTGCGTGTCTCTGTGTGTGTGTCTCATGTGTGTCTCTGTATGTGTGCGTGTCTCTGTGTGTGTGTCTCATGTGTGTCTCTGTATGTGTGCGTGTCTCTGTGTGTGTGTCTCATGTGTGTCTCTGTATGTGTGCGTGTCTCTGTGTGTGTGTCTCATGTGTGTCTCTGTATGTGTGCGTGTCTCTGTGTGTGTGTCTCATGTGTGTCTCTGTATGTGTGCGTGTCTCTGTGTGTGTGTCTCATGTGTGTCTCTGTATGTGTGCGTGTCTCTGTGTGTGTGTCTCATGTGTGTCTCTGTATGTGTGCGTGTCTCTGTGTGTGTGTCTCATGTGTGTCTCTGTATGTGTGCGTGTCTCTGTGTGTGTGTCTCATGTGTGTCTCTGTATGTGTGCGTGTGTGTTGCAGATCAGACTCTGTTCTTCTCGGAGCTGCTCTCTCGTCTCTGTTCGCTCGCGCCCTTGTACTCGTCTCTGATTGGTCGGTTGTGTTCCGAGTGCGAGGCCTGGCTTCTGTCCTGCACTGAGCCCATCCTCATCCCACACAGCAGCTTCCTCCAGCCACCAGGGGGCGCTCTCACACACACACTCACCGGCCTGCAGGGAGGTGAGGAGGAGGTGCTCTCACACACACACTCACCGGCCTGCAGGGAGGTGAGGAGGAGGTGCTCTCACACACACACTCAGCAGGTCCAGGTCCTCTACAGGTTCAGGTCCTGGTCCTGGTCCTGGTCCTGGGCCAGGTCCCGGTCCAGGTCCTGGTCCTCTACAGGTCCAGGTCCTGGTCCTCTCCAGGTGCAGAGGTCTTTCCTCTGAAGGTTGGAGCGTGAGATTTAGTGATGGTTCAGAGGGAGCAGCGTCTGCAGTCAGAGCTCTCTCTCAGTGATGGTTCAGAGGGAGCAGCGTCTGCAGTCAGAGTTGTCTCTCAGTGATGGTTCAGAGGGAGCAGCGTCTGCAGTCAGAGCTCTCTCTCAGTGATGGTTCAGAGGGAGCAGCGTCTGCAGTCAGAGCTGTCTCTCAGTGATGGTTCAGAGGGAGCAGCGTCTGCAGTCAGAGCTGTCTCTCAGTGATGGTTCAGAGGGAGCAGCGTCTGCAGTCAGAGCTCTCTCTCAGTGATGGTTCAGAGGGAGCAGCGTCTGCAGTCAGAGCTGTCTCTCAGTGATGGTTCAGAGGGAGCAGCCTCTGCAGTCAGAGCTCTCTCTCAGTGATGGTTCAGAGGGAGCAGCGTCTGCAGTCAGAGCTCTCTCTCAGTGATGGTTCAGAGGGAGCAGCTTCTGCAGTCAGAGCTCTCTCTCAGTGATGGTTCAGAGGGAGCAGCGTCTGCAGTCAGAGCTCTCTCTCAGTGATGGTTCAGAGGGAGCAGCCTCTGCAGTCAGAGCTCTCTCTCAGTGATGGTTCAGAGGGAGCAGCGTCTGCAGTCAGAGCTCTCTCTCTCAGGAGTGCAGTGTCTGGTGGTGAGTCTGGAGGAGGAACTGGTTGTTGCTGGAGACGATGACGGAGTCGTCGCTGTTTGGAGTCTTCCAGACGCTCAACTGCTGCACACTCTGCTCGGACACACAGGTAGAACATGCAACAGCTGCACAGGTAGAACATGCAACACCTGCACAGGGAGAACATGCAACACCTGCACAGGTAGAACATGCAACACCTGCACAGGTAGAACATGCAACACCTGCACAGGTAGAACATGCAACACCTGCACAGGTAGAACATGCAACACCTGCACAGGGAGAAAATGCTTAGTCTGCACAGTTGAGAGTAGCAGTAGTAGCAGTAGTAGTAGTAGTTGTTGTAGTAGCAGTAGTTGTAGTAGTATTAGTAATAGTTGTAGTAGTATTAGTAATAGTTGTAGTACTAGTAACAGTAGTAGTAGTATTAGTAGTAGTTGTAGTAGTAGTAGTAGTAGTTGTAGTACTAGTAACAGTAGTAGTAGTATTAGTAGTAGTAGTAGTAGTAGTAGTAAAGTAATGTTGTGTCCTCAGCTGCAGTTCTGGCGCTGTGTCTGACTGGCTCCGCCCTCTGCATCTCATTGGCTGCTGACAGTTCTATGAGGAAGTGGAGTTTACTGAGCGGGAAACAGGAAGTGTGCGTTGAAGACGTGACGCCACCGGACTGCGAGCGCGTCGATCTGAGCGTGTGCGAGAGGAGGGGCGTGGTCACGGTGTCCACGGCAACGCAGGTAAGGGAGGAGGGGCGTGGCCTCTCTGGTCTCTCTCTAGTCTGTCTCTGGTCCCTCTCTGTTCTCTCTCTGGTCTCTCTCTGGTCTCTCTCTGGTCTCTCTCTGGTCTCTCTCTGGTCTCTCTCTGGTCTCTCTCTGGTGCTCGTGACCATGTGTTGCTCCCTCAGGTGAAGGTCTTCTGTGTGGATGGGTTCTCGTTGCTCTGGACCTTCTCGGACTCGGACTCTAAGGTCCTCGGGGTCTTGGAGGATTCTGTGGTGTCGCTGAGTGGAGCTGGGACGGTCCGGATTATCCATGGTCTAGACCCAAACAAAGACCCGGTCCAAGTCTTTCTCCAGAACCAGACCGGAGACCAGACCGGAGACCAGACCGGAGACCAGACCGGAGACCAGACCGGAAACCAGACCGGAGACCAGACCGGAGACCAGACTGGAGACCAGAACAGAAACCAGACCAGAGACCAGGTTCTGACCAGGACTCTGACATTCTGCTCGTCTGTCGTTCTGAGCCGCAAACAGAAAGTCCTAGTCGTGTTTGAAGAAGAAGTTGTCTACCAGGTGAGACCAGAGAGAGACCAGAGAGAGACCAGAGTGAGACCAGAGAGAGACCAGAGAGAGACCAGAGTGAGACCAGAGAGAGACCAGAGAGAGAGACCAGAGAGAGACCAGAGAGAGACCAGAGAGAGACCAGAGAGAGACCAGAGAGAGACCAGAGAGAGATCAGAGAGAGACCAGCGAGAGACCAGAGAGAGACCAGAGAGAGACCAGAGAGAGACCAGAGAGAGACCAGAGAGAGACCAGAGAGAGACCAGAGAGAGAGGTTGATACCAGAGAAAGACCAGAGAGAGACCAGAGAGAGAGGTTGATACCAGAGAGAGACCAGAGAGAGACCAGAGAGAGACCAGAGAGAGACCAGAGAGAGACCAGAGAGAGAGGTTGATACCAGAGAGAGACCAGAGAGAGACCAGAGAGAGACCAGAGAGAGACCAGAGAGAGAGGTTGATACCAGAGAAAGACCAGAGAGAGATCTCTGGTCCAGTCAGTCTGGTATCCTTCTTTCTGGTTCTAAACTGTTTTTCTTTCAGATTTCCAAAGATGGCCGACACTCGTCGCAGAAGTTTCCTTTGGCTCCTTCTTTGTTGTGTGTTTCCCCCGACGAGAAGATCCTGATGGCAGGTACTGGTCCTGCTCTCTGGGCTTGGACCTGGTCCTGGTCTTGGTACTGGTTCAGACCTGTCTCTCCTCTCTAGGCTCAGACCTGGTCCTGGTCTTGTTCCGGGTCCAGGGGGAGCGTCTTCAGAAGTTCTTAGAGCTGGTTCACGATGATGAGGTTCTGACGGCCTGCGTTTCCTCAGACTCCAGGATCCTGTTCAGCGGAGCCCGAGACCAGCTGCTCCGGGTCAGTCCAGACCACCAGACTGTTGCTACGGTGACCATGAAACTGTGTTACTATGGTTACCACAAGACTGTGTTACTATGGTTACACTGTCCATCACTATCATACAGGCTGTTACTATGGTTACACTGTCCATCACTATCATACAGGCTGTTACTATTGTTACACTGTCCATCACTATCATACAGGCTGTTACTATTGTTACACTGTCCATCACTATCATACAGGCTGTTACTATTGTTACACTGTCCTTCACTATCATACAGGCTGTTACTATGGTGTTACTATGGTTACGCTGTCCATCACTATCATACAGGCTGTTACTATGGTTACACTGTCCATCACTATCATACAGGCTGTTACTATGGTTACACTGTCCTTCACTATCATACAGGCTGTTACTATGGTGTTACTATGGTTACGCTGTCCATCACTATCATACAGGCTGTTACTATGGTGTTACTATGGTTACGCTGTCCATCACTATCATACAGGCTGTTACTATGGTTACACTGTCCATCACTATCATACAGGCTGTTTCTATGGTTACATTATAACTATCGGACAAACTGTTACTATGGTTACTGGGAGACTATGTTTTGATGGGTACACTATCAACACTATGCTACAGACTGTTCCTATGGTTACGCGGTCCTCAGGTCTGGTCCATCACCACAGGGGCCCTGCTGGACTCGCTGTGTGGTCTGGACTCTCCGGTCTCAAGTCTGGCTCTGGCGTCACAAGGTTCCATTGCGTCGGCGTCGAATGTCTCCACCGCCGTCAAACTGTGGACGCTACGTTACGACACACGCCACAAGCCGACGCCCCACATCCCCACAGGCTCCGCCCACTGCACCCTGACCAGGGACTGTGACCAGATCTACTACGTCCAGAACCAGGGGCACCATGAAGTCCTGAGCTGGAGTCCAGAAACCGGTGAGAGAGACTAGAGAGAGACCAGAGAGAGACCAGAGAGAGACCAGAGAGAGACCAGAGAGAGACCAGAGAGAGACCAGAGAGAGACCAGAGAGACTCCAGTGAGACCGGAGAGAGACAAGAGAGAGACCAGAAAGAGACCAGAGAGAGTCCAGAGAGAGACCAGAGAGAGTGACCAGAGAGAGACCAGAGAGAAACCAGAGAGAGTCCAGTGAGACCGGAGAGAGACCAAAGAGACCCCAGAGAGACCCGAGAGAGAGCAGAGAGAGAAGAGAGAATTCAGTGACAAGACAATAGAGACGGGTCTAAAGCAGGACTAGAGCCGGTCTAACCCTGGTCTTCCTCAGGCTCTATCACAAACCGAATGGCGGTCTCGGTCCCGGTCTCCTGTCTGGACCTGGCTCAGTCCAAAAGGCTGCTTCTCTGTGGACTCGTTAGCGGAACAGTCTTCATCTACCCCCTGTCCAGTCCCGAGGAGACCCTGTGCATCCCGCCTCCCGAGTCCCTGTCCCCGGTCCGGAATCTGGCCCTGAGTCCCAACGAGAGCCGAATAGGCGTGGCCTACGAGGACCAGATCGCCATCTTCGTCCTGATGAACCGCGATGGTTTCCCCGCCATTGAAGGACCAGAGACCAGACTGGAACTGGGACTTCTCCACGGACCAATCACTGCCTGTGCCTTGACCAGCGATCACAGGTGAGACCAGAGAGGACCAGAGAGAGACCAGAGAGAGACCAGAGAGAGACCAGAGAGAGACCAGAGAGGACCAGAGTGGACCAGAGTGGATCAGAGAGACCAGAGAGAGCAGAGAGACCAGAGAGGACCAGAGAGGACCAGAGAGACCAGAGAGGACCAGAGAGGACCAGAGAGACCAGCGAGGACGAGAGAGACCAGCGAGGACGAGAGTGGACCAGAGAGGATCAGAGAGACCAGAGAGGACCAGAGTGGACCAGAGACCAGACAGTGACCAGTTCAGAGAGACTGAATACCAGAGAGAAAGACCGGAGAGAGAACAGAGACTGGAGCAGACCAGGGAGACCAAATCAGCTCTCAGCCCAACGAGTCATTTTTCTGCTGCACCAGAGACATTTTTATTTTGCAGGTTTCTCTACGGCACGAGTTGCGGTGAGGTCCGGCTTCACAATTTTGGGTCCGGGTCTGGGTCTGGGTCTGGGTCCGGGTCTGGGTCCGGGTCTGGGTCCGGGTCCGGGTCTGGGTCTGGGTTGTCCCTGGAGTCTCACCGCAGCAGAGTGTCCTGTGTCACTGTGAGCAACTGGGAAACTCACATCCTGATCGGGTCTGAAGACACCACACAGAGACTCTACGGACTCAAGAACTGCAGACTGCAGCACACCATGGACTACAAGGTACCAGAGACCAGAGACCAGCTGGGACTAGGGACCAGAGACCAGCAGAGACCAGAGACCAGAGACCAGGGACCAGAGACCAGGGACCAGAGACCAGGGACCAGAGACCAGAGACCAGCAGGGACCAGGGACTAGAGAGAGACCAGAGAGCAACCAGAGAGAGACCAGAGACCAGGGACCAGAGACCAGGGACCAGGGACCAGAGACCAGGGACCAGAGACCAGGGACCAGGGACCAGGGACCAGGGACCAGAGACCAGGGACCAGAGACCAGAGACCAGGGACCAGAGACCAGGGACCAGAGACCAGGGACCAGAGACCAGAAACCAGCAGGGACCAGGGACTAGAGAGAGACCAGAGAGCAACCAGAGTGAGACCAGGGAGAGACCAGGTGTCATAATGCCTCCTCTGGTTCAGGGTTTCTTCTTCGAGGGAGTTCTTTGCGCCGCTTTCTCCGACAGTGACCAGTTTGTGTTCACCGGCTCCAGAGACCGGACCATCAAGGTCTGGGGCGTGACCACAGGTATGAGAACCATATGGAGACCATGGGACCACAGGTGGAAGTACAGTGTGTTTCTTTGCAGGGAAGCTCCTCCTGGTCCAGTTCGTGTACTTTCCGGTGGTTCGTATGATTTCCTACAAAAACGGCTTCGTGGCGTTGTCCAAACAGGGGACCGTGATCCGCGAGACGTTCCGCTGCCCCGACCACATCAGCCCCGACTTCAACCCGCTGCGGACGGTGCGGGCGCATTACCGGGTCACCTCCAACCCGGACGGCCCCCCCGGGGAGGAGGGGCGGGGCCAGAGCGACGGCAAGGCGGAGCTACAGCAGTTTAACCCCGCCCACCTCAGCCTCGCCGATGTCAAGTCCAAACAGTCGCCCACATGTGTGCTTCTGTAGGAGGCTAATGCTAACGGATAGTGCTAACGGATAATGCTAACGAATGATGCTAAATTCTAAAGTAAATAGACAACGGTAAAGGCTCAAAGGATGATGCTGATTGTTGATGTTAAATGCTAATATTTAACGACTGATGTTAAAAACTAATGCTAACAGATGATGCTAAGGGCTAATGTTAAGATCTCATTCCAACAGATGATGCTAAAGGCTATAGCTAACAGATGATGCTAAAGGTTATAGCTAACAGATGATGCTAAAGGCTATAGCTAACAGATGATGCTAAAGGCTATATCTACCAGATGATGCTAAAGGCTATAGCTAGCAGATGCTGGTGGTCAAAGCTAAAGGACAACAGATAATACCAATGGATGATGTTATTTTTAAATTCATTCAACGCTGACGGTCAAAAGCTAAAGCTACTTTAGGTTTTACAATCTTTAAAATGTGACGTTGATTTTTTACATTTAGAACATTTTGATGAAATAAAAACTGAATCTTCAGCTCGAGCGGCGTCGTCTGAAACAGCAGAGATTAGGTCAGGATAAAGCTGAGGACCAGAGAGACCAGAGAGAGACCAGAGAGAGACCAGAGAGAGACCAGAGAGAGACCAGAGAGAGAGACCAGAGAGAGACCAGAGAGACCAGAGAGAGACCAGAGAGAGACCAGAGAGAGACCAGAGAGAGACCAGAGAGACCAGAGAGAGACCAGAGAGAGACCAGAGAGAGACCAGAGAGAGACCAGAGAGAGACCAGAGAGAGACCAGAGAGAGACCAGAGAGAGACCAGAGAAAGACCAGAGAAAGACCAGAGAGACTAGAGAGAGACCAGAGAGAGACCAGAGAGACTAGAGAGAGACCAGAGAGACTAGAGAGAGACCAGAGAGACCAGAGAGAGACCAGAGAGACTAGAGAGAGACCAGAGAGAGAGATCCGAGAGAGACCAGAGAGAGACTAGAGAGAGACCAGAGAGAGACCAGAGAGAGACCAGAGAGAGAGATCCGAGAGAGACCAGAGAGAGACTAGCAAGAGACGAGAGAGAGACCAGAGAGAGACGAGAGAGAGACCAGAGAGAGACTAGCAAGAGACCAGAGAGAGACCAGAGAGAGACCAGAGAGAGACCAGAGAGAGACCAGAGAGAGACCAGAGAGAGACTAGAGAGAGACTAGAGAGAGACTAGAGAGAGACCAGAGAGAGACTAGAGAGAGACTAGAGAGAGACCAGAGAGAGACCAGAGAGAGACCAGAGAGAGAGACCAGAGAGAGACCAGAGAGAGACCAGAGAGAGACCAGAGAGAGACTAGAGAGAGACCAGAGAGAGACCAGAGAGAGACCAGAGAGAGAGAGACCAGAGAGAGACCAGAGAGAGACCAGAGAGAGATCAGAGAGAGACCAGAGAGAGACCAGAGAGAGATCAGAGAGAGACCAGAGAGAGACCAGAGAGAGACCAGAGGGAGACCAGAGAGAGACTAGCAAGAGACTAGAGAGAGACCAAAGAGAGACCAGAGAGAGACCAGAGAGAGATCCGAGAGAGACCAGAGAGAGACTAGCGAGAGACTAGAGAGAGACCAGAGAGAGACCAGAGAGAGATCAGAGAGAGACCAGAGAGAGACCAGAGAGAGATCAGAGAGAGACCAGAGAGAGACCAGAGAGAGACCAGAGAGAGACCAGGGAGAGACCAGAGAGAGACCAGAGAGAGACTAGCAAGAGACCAGAGAGAGACCAGAGAGAGACCAGAGAGAGACCAGAGAGAGACCAGAGAGAGACCAGAGAGAGATCAGAGAGAGACCAGAGAGAGACTAGAGAGAGACCAGAGAGAGACCAGAGAGAGACCAGAGAGAGACCAGAGAGAGACTAGAGAGAGACCAGAGAGAGACCAGAGAGAGACCAGAGAGAGACTTGAGAACAAGACTTTCTCCAGCGACTCCAACTCATGTCTGCTGTTGTTGTGTCCTTGGGCAAGACACTTGACCCCACTTCGCCTGAAGCCCCCACTGAAGGATCAAGGCTGTGATGTCACTGACAGAGCAGCCTCCTGTGGACTCAGGAGCAGGATCAGGAGGAGCAGGATCAGAAGCGGCAGGATCAGGAGGAGCAGAATCAGAAGCGGCAGGATCAGCAGGAGCAGGATCAGAAGCGGCAGGATCAGCAGGAGCAGGAGCAGGATCAGCAGGAGCAGGATCAGAAGCGGCAGGATCAGGAGGAGCAGGATCAGCAGGAGCAGGATCAGAAGCGGCAGGATCAGGAGGAGCAGGATCAGCAGGAGCAGGATCAGAAGCGGCAGGATCAGGAGGAGCAGGAGCAGGATCAGCAGGAGCAGGATCAGGAGGAGCAGGAGCAGGATCAGCAGGAGCAGGATCAGGAGGAGCAGGAGCAGGATCAGCAGGAGCAGGATCAGGAGGAGCAGGAGCAGGAGGAGCTGATGGTAAATGTGAGCTGCAGGGGCTAACCACTCTGCCACAGGCTGCAGTTAATGATGTTATAATCGTTTGTGCCTCAGCGTTTATGACCCCACTGTGTTTCCTCTGGAATCTGTTAAATATTTACCCAGAGTCCAGCCCCAGACCAGGGTCTAAACCTGGACTAAAGCAGGACCAGAGCAGGACTGAGCGAGGACAAAACAAGAACTGAACCTGGACTGAACCAGGACTAAAGCAGGTCTAAGGTGTTGTTTTGGTCCAGGATGGGGCCTAAAGTGGAGAGTGTGTGTGCGCTTCTGTTCCTGACGCTGGGACCAGCTCTGGGCCAAAGCGGTGAGTTATTATTATTATTATTATTATTATTATTATTCTACCAAAACTCTGGTTCATGGGTCACATGTTCAGGGCTCTGAGAACAGTGTAAAGAAGGCGCATAAATGAAAATACGAGTGAACTATTTATGGGAATGATAAACTTTGAGAATGCATCGTATTCTACTGTAGATGAACTGTTTAACTCTGTCCCCTCTAGTGCTTTGAATGTTCTGGATACCGTTGCCCCTGTGAAGGTTAAAATAGTGAAAAATAAGCAGAAGGCGCCGTGGGCTAAAGCAGACTCGGTCAGGGCACAAAAGAGAAAGTGCCGGAGGGCCGAGCGGAAGTGGCGCAAGTCCAACCTCCAGGTAGATTACGAGATCTTCAAAGATAAGTTGTGCGAGTTTAACCGGGTGCTACGTAGTACGAGAGAAAAGTATTTTTCTGAAATGATTGAAGGCTGCAGCAACAATCTGCGTGTTCTGTTCTCAACAGTTAATAGATTAACAAACCCCCCTGTTCAAATGCCATTAGAGCTTACTTCCAAACGTAAATGCAATGAGTTTGCACATTTTTTCAATGACAAGGTTCAATGCATCAAAAACGCCATTGTCTCCAATCCACAGATAACCATCCAACAGCCAGAAAGGCTCTCTGAGCTAACTCACTTTGCACCTGTAAATGATAAAACTGTCCAAGAGATAATCTCCAGTTTGAGCTCCTCCACATGCAGCTTGGATGTACTACCCACTAGATTTCTGAAGTCTGTTCTGAGCAGTCTGTTACCTTCACTCACACAGATAGTAAACATGTCCCTTCATTCTGGAATATTCCCAAAGGCCCTGAAAACTGCAGTCATCAGGCCCCTGCTAAAAAAGAGCAGTCTGGATGCCACTGTACTTAACAACTATCGTCCCATCTCAAATCTGCCATTTATGGGGAAAGTCCTTGAGAAAGTTGTCTACCTACAGCTTACTAGATTTCTTATAATCAACAACTCATTTGATATGTTTCAGTCCGGCTTTAGACCCCACCACAGCACTGAGACTGCTCTCGTTAAGGTTACAAACGATATCCGGCTGAACACTGACGCAGGCAAAGTCTCAATCTTAATCTTGTTAGATCTGAGTGCTGCCTTTGACACCGTCGACCATGAGATCCTCTTACAGAGACTACAGGACTGGGTTGGAGTCGCTGGCACCGCCCTAAGTTGGTTTAGGTCTTACCTTGAAGACAGGAAGTACTTTGTGGAGATTGGAAACTGTGTCTCAGATCATATGGCCCTGACCTGTGGAGTCCCACAGGGGTCGATCCTGGGACCTCTTCTGTTCAATCTCTACATGCTGCCGTTAGGTCAGTTAATACGCAGAAACAAAGTGTCCTATCATAACTATGCAGATGACACTCAGATCTATGTCTCACTGACTGCAGGAGAACATGGACCAGTGGACTCACTCCTTCACTGTATCCAACAGATCAGTGAGTGGATGCAAAACAACTTCCTTCAGCTAAACGCAGACAAAACTGAAATGATTGTCTTTGGTCCCCAGAAACAAAGAGAGAGCGTCATCTGTCACCTACAGTCTCTCTCCCTAAAACCTTCAAACAAGGTCAGAAATCTAGGGGTAATACTGGACTCAGACTTAAATTTTAATGGCCACATCAAATCAGTAACATCAGCAGCTTTTTACCATCTAAAAAACATTGCCAGGATCAAAAACATAGTGTCTAAAGCAGACTTGGAGATTCTTATCCATGCATTTGTCTCCAGTAGGTTAGACTACTGCAATGGCCTGCTCACAGGTCTGTCCAAACAGGCTGTAAAACAGCTGCAGTACATTCAAAATGCAGCAGCTCGAGTCCTGACTAGAACCAGGAAGTACGACCATATTAGTCCGGTCCTCAGGTCTCTGCACTGGCTTCCTGTGACTCAGAGAATAGACTTTAAAACAGCTCTGCTTGTGTACAAATCTCTCCATGGCCTCGCACCAAAATATATTAGTGACATGTTAGTCCCATATGAACCAGCCCGGACTCTGAGGAGCACAGGGACTGGACTCCTGCTGGGACTCTGAGGAGCACAGGGACTGGTCTCCTGCTGGGACTCTGAGGAGCACAGGGACTGGACTCCTGTTAGTGCCCAGAGTCAGAACTAAACATGGGGAGGCTGCTTTTCAGATTCATGCTGCTAAAATCTGGAACAGTCTTCCTGAAGATGTGAGACAGGCCTCCTCTCTGACAATGTTTAAAACCAGGTTAAAGACGGTTCTGTTTAGCTGTGCATACAACTGAGGGATTTTATATTTTTATCTTTTTTTTAATGTGCTGTGATTATTTATGATTTTAATGCTTTCTTGTTTTGTTCAGCACTTTGAATTGCCTTGTGTATGAATTGTGCTATATAAATAAACTTGCCTTGCCTAAACCAACAACTGGAGCCTGGACTAAAGCAGATCTGAGCCTGGACTAAAGCAGGTCTGAGCCTAGACTAAAGCAGGTCTGAGCCTGGACTAAAGCAGGTCTGAGCCTGGACTAAAGCAGGTCTGAGCCTGGACTAAAGCAGGTCTGAGCCTGGACTAAAGCAGGTCTGAGCCTGGACTAAAGCAGGTCTGAGCCTGGACTAAAGCAGGTCTGAGCGAGTCTTAAACACAGGTGTAATGAGAGATTTCTGACCCTGACCTTATCTGGTTCTGACCCGGTTCTGCTTGTGTGGCAGCTCTCTCTGGCCCCGCCTCCAGGCCCCTCCCACAGTGGCTCACTGGGATCATCGCAGTGGTCGGCTTCCTCTTCCTCACCTTCGTGGTCTTCATTGTCAAACGTGCCTGGTGCGAGAAGTCCAAAGGGTGAGGACGCTTTATTAATGTGGCACATTTCATCAACTCTGACTCTGAAAACTGTTTCCATAGCGACGCCTCGGACTCAGAGTCCAACCACTACGAGGATGTGACCGAAGAGTCTCAGCCAAGGTGAGGAAGACCCAGGACTGAGGCTGTAGACCTAGGACTGAGGCTGTAGACCTAGGACTGAGGCTGTAGACCCAGGACTGAGGCTGTAGACCCAGGACTGAGGCTGTAGACCCAGGACTGAGGCTGTAGACCCAGGACTGAGGCTGTAGACCCAGGACTGAGGCTGTAGACCCAGGACCGAGGCTGTAGACCCAGGACCGAGGCTGTAGACCCAGGACCGAGGCTGTAGACCCAGGACCGAGGCTGTAGACCCAGGACCGAGGCTGTAGACCCAGGACCGAGGCTGTAGACCTAGGACCGAGGCTGTAGACCCAGGACTGAGTCTTCCATGTCACTTTCCTGTCTTTGTTCCTCAGACTCGGTGCAGAGATGGCCTCGTACTCAAACCTGGGTCTGGAACGAGACGAGGACCGGGTCACCGCCATGTGATCAGGACGCTGCGCTGTGATTGGCCCCAGGCTCCTCCAATCACATCACACGCACCACTTTTTAAATGAGTCTGTACCACTCCCATGTGACAGATGTCGAGAAGCAGTTATCATTAATATGCATTAGTATTAGCATTAGTGTTAGCATTAGCATTAGCATTACCATTAGTATTAATAGGAGCATTAGCGTTAGCATTCACAAACAGCTTCTCGTCATCTGCAAAATAAATTATTGAAACACAAATCCAATAAATTCAGTTAAAACCTTTGTTTTTGATTGATCTTTAGTAAACTGTTATTATTAATGCTGCACTCGACCTTATTAGAAAACATGTGAGTCACTTTCTGCAGAGGGAACTGCTTTCTGGTCTCTCTCTGGTCTCTCTCTGGTCTCTCTCTTTGGCCTCCCTCTGGTCTCTCTCTGGTCTCCCTTTGGTCTCTCTCTGGTCTCCCTTTGGTCTCTCTGTGGTCTCCCTTTGGTCTCTCTCTGGTCTCCCTCTGGTCTCTCTCTGGTCTCCCTCTGGTCTCCTTCTGGTCTCTCTCTGGTCTGTCCCTCTGGTCTCTCTCTGGTCTCTCTCTCTGGTCTCCTTCTGGTCTCTTTTTGGCCAGAACCAGAGACATGGGTTTATTAGAGAGTTCTGTTGTTGTGGTCTGAAAGTTACGTACCCGAGCTTTCTAGAGTGAAATGAGTGATGAGTTGTTTTAGCGGTGTGTGCAGACAGAAGGGTGGGGGTGACAGTTCATGTCTGAGTCACAGGAGCAGAGTCCAGGATTATTAACTCTGTTAAACTTTAGTGAAATGGACTCAGCTCAAATATGAACACTTTATTTCTGATCACACTCAAAGGTTCTGCAACATTCACTTTGAATTTTTTTTAATCCACGGCCCTCTCTGGTCTCATTCTAGTCCCTCTCTGGTCTCTCTCTGGTCTCCCTCTAGTCTCCCTGTGGTTCTGGTCTCCCTCCAGTCTCCCTCCAGTCTCTCTCTGGTCTCTCTCTGGTCTCTCTCTAGTCTCACTCTAGTCTCTCTCTAGTCTCACTCTAGTCTCACTCTAGTCTCTCTCTAGTCTCCCTCTGGTCTCCCTCTCGTCTCACTCTGGTCTCCCTCTGGTCTCACTCTGGTCTCACTCTGGTCTCACTCTGGTCTCACTCTGGTCTCACTCTGGTCTCACTCTGGTCTCACTCTAGTCTCTCTCTAGTCTCCCTCTGGTCTCCCTCTGGTCTCACTCTGGTCTCACTCTGGTCTCACTCTGGTCTCACTCTGGTCTCACTCTGGTCTCACTCAGGTCTCACTCTGGTCTCACTCTGGTCTCACTCTGGTCTCACTCTGGTCTCACTCTGGTCTCTGTGTGAAAATAAAAACAGACATGTTTTGAGCAGAAATCGTCTTTTAATCAACATTTTCTCTTAAAAATATTTCGACCGATTTACAAACGTTTGATTCAGACTTGGACCAATGACATCAGAGGACTACAAAACAGACAGGAAGTGACATCATGTTGGAGTCCAAACACGAACAGCGACTTTAAACAATGTCTTGACGTCAGAGAAAGGAAGAAAAAAGACAAACGTTACATTGATTTTATTTTCATTTGGATTTTGTGAAGAATTATAAATATTTATTTTCCAAAACAACAAAGTAACACTCATGGCACTTTCTATCAGTTTTATTTATTTATTTATTATAGTGTTTTTTGTGCAGAAGAAAAACACGTTAAACTCAGACGTGTCACAGACGAGAAGCTTCCTTTTTATTATTATTCTTTTTATTGTTTATTACTAGTGGAAGACGAACGCAAAAATACTAAAGCTCAAACAGGTCTCTCTCTGGTTTCTCTCTGGTCTTTCTCTAATCTCTCTCTGGTCTCTCTCTGGTCTCTCTCTGGTCTCTCTCTGGTCTCTCTCTGGTCTCTCTCTGGTCTCTCTCTGGTCTCTCTCTGGTCTCTCTCTGGTCTCTCTCTGGTCTCTCTGGTCTCTCTCTCTGGTCTCCCCCTGGTCTCTCCCCCTCTGGTCTCTCTCTCTCTGGTCTCTCCCCCTGGTCTCTCCCCCTCTGGTCTCTCCCCCTGTTCTCTCCCCCTGGTCTCTCCCTCTGGTCTCTCCCCCTGGTCTCCCCCTCTGGTCCCTCCTCTGGTCTCTCTCTCTCTGGTCTTTCGCTCTCTGGTCTCTCTCCCTCTGGTCTCTCTCTCTGGTCTCTCTCTCTGGTCTCCCCCTGGTCTCTCTCTCTGGTCTCCCCCTGGTCTCTCTCCCTCTGGTCTCTCCCCCTGGTCTCTCCCTCTGGTCTTTCTCCCTCTGGTCTTTCTCCCTCAGTCTCTCCCCCTGGTCTCCCCCCCTGGTCTCCCCCCCTGGTCTCCCCCTGGTCTCTCTCTCTGGTCTCCCCCTGGTCTCTCTCTCTGGTCTCCCCCTGGTCTTTCCCTCTGGTCTCTCCCCCTGGTCTCTCCCCCTGGTCTCTCCCCTGGTCTCCCCCTGGTCTCTCCCTCTGGTCTTTCTCCCTCAGTCTCCCCCCCTGGTCTCCCCCCCTGGTCTCCCCCTGGTCTCAGCTGAGGACCTGCAGGACCACGTCTCCTGGTGTCTGTCTCTTCAGGACGCACACTGCCCCCTGGTGGCTGACTCCGCTCAGTGACTCTCCGTTCACAGATATGATCTGGTCTCCGCGGCGCAGAGAGCCCTCCTCCCCCGCAGCGCCCTGAGGAGAGAGACAGTCCTGAACCTGGCCCCAGGACCCAGGACCGGACCAGGACCAGGAACCAAGGACCAATTCATAGTCCTCGTTCCCAGACCCAGTCCTCATCCCCACCCAGACCCAGGACCCAAACCCAGTCCAGACCTTGCTGAAGACGGTCTTCACGTAGATGGGCAGGTCTCCGTGTGGACTCCCGAATCCTCCCACGATACTGAAGCCCAGACCATCAGAGCCTTTGTGGAGCGTGATGGTCCGACAGCGAGGAGACCTGAGGGACAAGCACTGATGAGACCAGGACCAGGACCAGGACCAGGACCAGAGTTAAAGGATGTAAAGCTCCTCACCCTGAGTTCTCCGTGCTCTCGGTGCTCGTGCAGCTGTTGGACAGAACCTCCACTTGAGACGCGATCGCAGAGATGTTTGTGTCGGCCACAACCTGAACACAGCACAGCTCTGATGACATCATCATCTGATGACATCACCAGCTCTGATGACATCACCAGCTCTGATGACATCACAGGTCGATGACATCACTCACCTTGAGGCTGATGAGTCCAAATGAGTTCTTGAGCAACGACACGACGTCGCTGTGACTCAGAGCGTCCACACTCTGTCCATTTATGCTCACGATACGATCTCCGACCTGCGACAACAGAGTGTGTGTGTCTGTGTGTGTAAGTGTGTGTGTATGTGTGTGTGTATGTGTGTGTCTGTGTGTATGTGTGTGTGTAGGTGTGTATGTGTGTGTGTGTGTGTGTGTGTGCGTGTGTGTGTGTGTGTGTGTGCGTGTCTGTGTGTGTAAGTGTGTGTGTGTCTGTGTGTGTAAGTGTGTGTGTGTGTGTCTGTGTGTGTAAGTGTGTGTGTGTATGTGTATGTGTGTGTGTGTGTGTGTGTGTGTGTGTGTGTCTGTGTGTATGTGTGTGTGTAGGTGTGTATGTGTGTGTGTGTGTGTGTGTGTCTGTGTGTGTATCTGTGTGTGTGTGTACCTTCAGTTTCTTGCTCTTTGCTGCGACTCCGTTTGCTTGGATCATTGCGATGAACAGAGGAACGTCTCCCAGAGCAGAACCCAGACCTCCAGCCACACTGAGCCCCAGGGGGTCCGAGGGGGTCTGCAAGAGAGGACCAGGACTGAGACCAGGACAGAGGCCGGGACTGAGACCAGGACTGAGGCCGGGACTGAGGCCGGAACAGAGGCCAGGACTGAGGCCAGGACTGAGGCCGGGACAGAGGCCAGGACTGAGGCCGGGACAGAGGCCAGGACTGAGGCCGGGACTGAGGCCGGGACTGAGGCCGGGACTGAGCCCTTTACATAAACATTTACCCGAGTGATGTCCACTGAGCGCGCTCCACTTTCGTCGTCTGAAAAACAAGAATAAAATGCGTCAGACGTTGTTTCACAAACTTTTTCTGTTTTTTTATTTAAATGGAAAAGTCACCAGTGTCCGTCGGCTCACAGGAAGTGACATCATTGCTCCTGGTCGGCTCACAGGAAGTGACATCATTGCTCCTGGTCGGCTCACAGGAAGTAACATCATTGCTCCTGGTCGTCTCACAGGAAGTGACATCACAGTTCCTGGTCGTCTCACAGGAAGTGACATCCCAGTTCTTGGTCGGCTCAGAGGAAGTGACATCACAGTTCTTGGTCGGCTCAGAGGAAGTGACATCACAGTTCTTGGTCGGCTCAGAGGAAGTGACATCACAGTTCTTGGTCGGCTCACAGGAAGTGACATTACAGTTCTTGGTCGGCTCACAGGAAGTGACATCACAGTTCCGGTTGTCGTCAAGGCGCTCAAGGTCAGGGGTCGTGGCTGAGACTCTGTTCTGCGTCTGTTTGAGCACCGCACACACACCGTAGACTTAGCAAACACAAAACCACACAACTTACACACAAAACACAAAAACATACACCACTGAAACACACGGCGGCGGCGACACTGGACCGTAGCGGCTTAACTTTAAATCTTTACTTTGCTTCATTAACTTTGCCGTCGGGTCTGTCTCTGGTCAAACAGAAACTGAAACCAGGAAGTAGCGATCTCTAATGCGACGCACAAAAACAAACATCTAAAACGTCTTTACATGAGTTATTATTGCTCTTGAAGCTCAACAAACACAGCTTCCCTCGCGCTGTCGTCAGAGCGATCACGAGCTGCAGAAGTTTGTGTTTAAGAATGTAAAATAATGACGTCGTCGCAGCAGTGTGACGTCATCAATATTCTGTTTGCTCAGGAGATGATTGACAGGTGATGTCTGTCCTGGTCCATCACACCGAGCTCTGCTGCTTTTCTGCTTTCGTTAGCGGCTAAAAGTGTTAGCATCATGTGACTTGGGGGAAATGTGTTCTTGGCTCGATTTTTTTCCACTTGGATCTGCCTCAGAAAACAGAGTCTAGTCTGTGGGACCATGGGTCGTCACCACGATCACTGGTTTCCACCACGGTCAGACTTCTGTGAGTTTGGGTTGATTTGCAGTGATGCTGTGCACACTTTGGGCTAATGTCTGTGTAAAATAATGTTGCACTGTTGTGTGTCCTTTACCTGGTTCTGTTGTGTGTCCTTTACCTGGTTCTGTTGTGTGTCCTTTACCTGGTTCTGTTGTGTGTCCTTTACCTGGTTCTGTTGTGCGCTGGTCGTGGTCCATGAAGCTGCAGTGAGACGCCCGACCTCCAGCACCACAGGTCCTCTGGCACACTACACACACACAGAGACACACACACAGAGACACACACACACACACACAGAGACACACACACACAGAGACACACACACACACAGAGACACCCACGCACGATGATATAGGCCGCACTGTTGGACTGCACTACCTGGCGCCCCTGGTGTCCCGCACCTTCAACATGGCGCCCACGCTCTCCTGCGTGGCGAGCCGAGTGTCTTCTCCGTTGACGCTCAGGATCTGGTCTCCGTGCATCAGGCGTCCGTCCAGCTCAGCGGCGCCCCCTCTGACCAGCTCCGACACGAACACGCCGCTGCCACTGCGCTTCGCCGCGATGCTGAGGCCTAAGCCCCGCCCACTTCGCCTCGATGCAATGCTGAGGCCTAAGCCCCGCCCACTGCGCCTCTGCAGCGTGACGCGCAGCACGCTCTGCTCCCACTGCGACAGGCGCAGCACGCGCAGACGCACACGCGACGGCGTCTGCCGCAGCCGCGCAATGGCCTGGTCATGTGACGCGCCGCGCAGAGAGACGCCGTTCACCTGCGGAGACAGACGGTGAGTTTAGTTCAGTCTTTATTTGAACGCGAGCTCGCCCATAACCCCTGTGTCATAAGGTGATGGGGATATGGCAAGAAGGTCCTGGGTTCGAATCCCGGTCGGAACAGGGCCTTTCTAAGTGGAGTTTGCATGTTCTCCCCGTGTCTGCTCTGGTTACTCCTGCCACTAAAAACGTAGTAGGTCTGGCATGCGCCTCCATGTCCTGGGGCCTCCATGTCCTGAGGTCCTCCATGTCCTGGGGCCTCCATGTCCTGGGGCCTCCATGTCCTGGGGCCTCCATGTCCTGAGGTCCTCCATGTCCTGAGGTCCTCCATGTCCTGAGGTCCTCCATGTCCTGAGGTCCTCCATGTCCTGAGGTCCTCCATGTCCTGAGGTCCTCCATGTCCTGAGGTCCTCCATGTCCTGAGGTCCTCCATGTCCTGAGGTCCTCCATGTCCTGAGGTCCTCCATGTCCTGGGGTTCTCCATGTCCTGAGGTCCTCCATGTCCTGAGGTCCTCCATGTCCTGAGGTCCTCCATGTCCTGGGGTTCTCCATGTCCTGAGGTCCTCCATGTCCTGAGGTCCTCCATGTCCTGAGGTCCTCCATGTCCTGGGGTTCTCCATGTCCTGAGGTCCTCCATGTCCTGAGGTCCTCCATGTCCTGAGGTCCTCCATGTCCTGGGGTTCTCCATGTCCTGAGGTCCTCCATGTCCTGGGGTTCTCCATGTCCTGAGGTCCTCCATGTCCTGAGGTCCTCCATGTCCTGGGGGCCTCCATGTCCTGAGGTCCTCCATGTCCTGAGGTCCTCCATGTCCTGGGGTTCTCCATGTCCTGAGGTCCTCCATGTCCTGAGGTCCTCCATGTCCTGGGGGCCTCCATGTCCTGAGGTCCTCCATGTCCTGGGGGCCTCCATGTCCTGGGGTCCTCCATGTCCTGGGGCCCTCAGTGGACCACAGCGGCACACAACAAGTCCCCTGAGTGTTTATGTTTATGCTCCAAAGACGATTGGTGACAAGAACAATAATAAAATTATAACCAGTCTGTGCCACCAACACCATCAACACACACCAGACCCATTCTAATGTGGGGGAAGTGTCTTGCCTAAGGACACAACCACAGTTTGGCACTTTACGCCCCACTGTGGCACCTGGTGTTCCCAGAGGTCTCCCATCACTGCATTAACCAGGCCCTATCCAGCTTAGCTTCAGAGGTCTGACAAGATGTAGCTGCAGGTGGCGCCACATGTCTCTCACCTCCAGGATCTGGTCTCCGGGCCACAGCCTCCCGTCCCGCGCTGCTGCCCCCTCCTGGTAGACCTCGTGTATGACGATGGCGTTCTGCACAGAAACACGACACAGACAGATGTGTCTCAGGAGAAGGAGAAGTGCTCACAGACAGAGATTAGAACAATATTAGAATTAGCATTGTTTGAACAGGGTTTCAAACCCTCTGAACAAGGGGTCTCCTGCCTGTGGCTCGGGAGCTACCAGTAGCTCGCCACTTTCAGGTAGCTCCAAAGGATTTAGAATTTCACACATGGTCCTGAATGATTCACTTTTGAGTCCTTACATCTATTTGAACCATAAACGTGTGTTCTCCATCACTTCCTGTGGTGATTATATGAACTATAACGATATTATGCTAAAGGAGTAGCTCTCTGTTATTTCTGTTGTATAAAAGTAGCTCTCCAATAGAAAAAGGTTAGAGACGCTGAGTCTGGACTGAAGCTGCCCTCTCACAAAAGAGTTTGTTCTAAAATATTTTACGTGATTTGTGTTTGTATTTATTTTATAATCTCTGCATGTGTGCTGTATAAATAAAGTGGATTGAGTGTGGTACCAGCTGCGTGTCGGTTCCTCCCACGATGCTCAGGCCGAGTCCGGACCGGCCTTTGCAGATCTCCAGCAGAGTCTCCTGTCCTGGGACCACGGCACAGAGGGCGGGGTCTGACACCGAGGCTGAAGAATAAATAATCACAACAATAACAAACATATTTGGGCCGAGGATGGACCCCTGGGGGACCCCACACTGCAGACTGCTCTCGGGTCTGTTCCAGCACCGAAGGATTAGGAGTGTGAGAAAGCAGGGCCAGGGTTAGTCCTGACATTGTGATGGAAAAAGTGAGACTAAAACAGGTTTCAGAGCGGAGTGGGGCAAAACTTCACTGTGAGCACTTCACTGAGCTAGAAGGTTAGCTACATAGTCTGTATATATATCTATATACAGACTATGGGGAAACTGCAGCTTGCCTTAGCAACCATGTTAGCAACGTCTCCGTCCTTGATACGCCACAAAGCTAACGGCGTCTGAACAAATGCCCATATAAGGAAATTGGTTTCTTCCACATTAAGTGATGTCACAGTGTCTCAGTCCTCTCCAAATATATGGACTATGGTCTGAACCAAACAGGACTGGGCCGAGGACGGACCCCTGGGGGACCCCACAGTGTAGTTTATACTGTGTCTCTGTGAAGGTAGGGAACAAACACATTCAGAGTAATTATGAAGTGAACTCCTGTGTTGACGACTTTTAGGGTAAACGTGATAATGTTCTAGAATCCTCCGTGTTCTGACCCGTGTTGGCGTTGAGGAGCTCGGCCACAGACACGTTCCCGAAGCTCAGCGAAGGAACAAGAGCCTGAGAAAGACAACACAACATTCACACGTCACAAAACAGTCTCATTTCTGTCATCGGCCGAATTTAGAATTATTATTCAAAAAAATCGACCTGTTTTTCTGCCGGAGACTCCAGAGGGTTTTCAGGAGAATCCAACTTCTGTCTCTGAAAGAAAAAATAAAAAAGCTTTAGACCTGCTTCAGTCCTGGTCCAGTCCTGGTCCAGTCCTGGTCCAGTCCTGGTCCAGTCCTGGTCCAGACCTGCTTCAGTACCTTCTTGTGTGCACTGCTCTTGTTCATGTCGTTAAGCTCCACCTCCTCTGTGGACGCCTCCTGAAAACACATTCAAAGTGAAATAGATCAAATCCACACGTCCCCCCACCCCTTCTCTCTCTGGTCTCTCTCTGTGTCTGTCTGGTCTCTCTTTCTCTGGTCTCTCTGGTCTCTGGTCTCTGGTCTCTCTGGTCTCTCTGGTCTCTCTGGTCTCTCTGGTCTCTCTGGTCTCTCTGGTCTCTGGTCTCTCTGGTCTCTGGTCTCTCTGGTCTCTGGACTCTCTTTCTGGTCTCTCTGGTCTCTGGTCTCTGGTCTCTGGTCTCTCTGGTCTCTCTGGTCTCTGGTCTCTCTTTCTGGCCTCTCTGTTCTCTGGTCTCTCTGGTCTCTCTGGTCTCTCTGGTCTCTGGTCTCTCTGGTCTCTGGTCTCTGGTCTCTGGTCTCTCTGGTCTCTGGTCTCTCTTTCTGGTCTCTCTGGTCTCTCTGGTCTCTGGTCTCTCTGGTCTCTCTGGTCTCTGGTCTCTCTGGTCTCTGGTCTCTCTTTCTGGTCTCTCTTTCTGGTCTCTCTGGTCTCTGGTCTCTCTGGTCTCTGGTCTCTCTTTCTGGCCTCTGTTCTCTGGTCTCTCTGGTCTCTCTGGTCTCTCTTTCTGGTCTCTCTGGTCTCAGTTTCTAAATATTCTAAAGATCCTGTTTTAGAGACAACCACAGGAAACGATAATTAAAAAGTGAAACCTGGTTGTGGGAGGAGCTTAGTGTCAGCTGGTCAGGCGGCCGGGGCTTCTCGGAGGAGGGGGCGGGGCCAGACACAGGAAGCGTGGGAGGAGCCTGAGAATCAAAGAGAACATGGCGGTCACAGAAACAGGAAACACTAACATTCAAGCGGTTACCTCGGAAACGCTGGGGCTGATCGCAGGAGGCGGGAACGGAGCCACCGCCATCTGCTCCACGGCATCCGCGTTTCTGACCAATCACAGAGAGGCTTTAGCTAAAAAACTGAAGTGTGACGGTAATGCTATAGCAAATGGACATTTAATGTTAGCTTTTTGTGTGTCTTTTTAATGGCCTGATTTTGTATCTAAATACTACACGTATTTAGATACAAAATCAGGCCATTAAAAAGACACAGCTAACTGAAGCTAAAGCTAATGCTAGTGCTGTTGCTAACTCTGAAGCAGTTCAAAGATCTCAAGCAAAACATTAAAAAATAGATTAATTCCAACTAAAGTCAAAACAGGAGTATAGCAGCAGTCCTCCTGTTTTACCCATAATGCAGTGGTCTGTAGTCCTGTTTTACCCATAATGCATTGGTCTGTTGTCCTGTTTTACCCATAATGCATTGGTCTGTAGTCCTGTTTACCCATAATGCAATGGTCTGTAGTCCTGTTTTACCCATAATGCAGTGGTCTGTAGTCCTGTTTTACCCATAATGCATTGGTTTGTAGTCCTGTTTCCCCATAATGCAATGGTCTGTAGTCCTGTTTTACCCATAATGCAGTGGTCTGTAGTCCTGTTTTACCCATGATGCAGTGGTTTGTAGTCCTGTTTTCCCATAATGCAGTGGTCTGTAGTCCTGTTTTACCCATGATGCAGTGGTTTGTAGTCCTGTTTTTCCATAATGCAGTGGTCTGTAGTCCTGTTTTCCCATAATGCATTAGTCTATAGTCCTATTTTACCCATAATGCAGTGGTCTGTAGTCCTGTTTTCCCATAATGCATTGGTTTGTAGTCCTGTTTTACCCATAATGCAGTGGTCTGTAGTCCTGTTTTACCCATAATGCAGTGGTCTGTAGTCCTGTTTTACCCATAATGCAGTGGTCTGTAGTCCTGTTTTACCCATAATGCAGTGGTCTGTAGTCCTGTTTTCCCATAATGCAGTGGTCTGTAGTCCTGTTTTACCCATGATGCAGTGGTTTGTAGTCCTGTTTTCCCATAATGCAGTGGTCTGTAGTCCTGTTTTCCCATAATGCATTGGTCTATACTCCTGTTTTACCCATAATGCAGTTATCTGTAGTCCTGTTTTACCCATAATGCAGTGGTCTGTAATCTTGTTTTACCCATAATGCAGTGGTCTGTAGTCCTGTTTTACCCATAATGCAGTGATCTGTAGTCCTGTTTTACCCATAATGCAGTGGTCTGTAGTCCTGTTTTACCCATAATGCAGTGGTCTGTAGTCCTGTTTTACCCATAATGCAGTGGTCTGTAGTCCTGTTTTACCCATAATGCAGTGGTCTGTAGTCCTGTTTTCCCATAATGCATTAGTCTATAGTCCTATTTTACCCATAATGCAGTGGTCTGTAGTCCTGTTTTCCCATAATGCATTGGTTTGTAGTCCTGTTTCCCCATAATGCAGTGGTCTGTAGTCCTGTTTTACCCATAATGCAGTGGTCTGTAGTCCTGTTTTACCCATAATGCAGTGGTCTGTAGTCCTGTTTTACCCATAATGCAGTGGTCTGTAGTCCTGTTTTACCCATAATGCAGTGGTCTGTAGTCCTGTTTTCCCATAATGCAGTGGTCTGTAGTCCTGTTTTCCCATAATGCAGTGGTCTGTAGTCCTGTTTTCCCATAATGCATTGGTCTATACTCCTGTTTTACCCATAATGCAGTGGTCTGTAGTCCTGTTTTACCCATAATGCAGTTATCTGTAGTCCTGTTTTACCCATAATGCAGTGGTCTGTAATCCTGTTTTACCCATAATGCAGTGGTCTGTAGTCCTGTTTTACCCATAATGCAGTGGTCTGTAGTCCTGTTTTACCCATAATGCAGTGGTCTGTAGTCCTGTTTTACCCATAATGCAGTGGTCTGTAGTCCTGTTTTCCCATAATGCATTAGTCTATAGTCCTATTTTACCCATAATGCAGTGATCTGTAGTCCTGTTTCCCCATAAAATGCAGTGGTCTGTAGTCCTGTTTTACCCATAATGCAGTGGTCTGTAGTCCTGTTTTACCCATAATGCAGTGGTCTGTAGTCCTGTTTTACCCATAATGCAGTGGTCTGTAGTCCTGTTTTACCCATAATGCAGTGGTCTGTAGTCCTGTTTTCCCATAATGCAGTGGTCTGTAGTCCTGTTTTACCCATGATGCAGTGATTTGTAGTCCTGTTTTCCCATAATGCAGTGGTCTGTAGTCCTGTTTTCCCATAATGCAGTTATCTGTAGTCCTGTTTTACCCATAATGCAGTGGTCTGTAGTCCTGTTTTACCCATAATGCAGTGGTCTGTAGTCCTGTTTTACCCATAATGCAGTGGTCTGTAGTCCTGTTTTGCCCATAATGCAGTGGTCTGTAGTCCTGTTTTCCCATAATGCAGTGGTCTGTAGTCCTGTTTTCCCATAATGCATTGGTCTATACTCCTGTTTTACCCATAATGCAGTTATCTGTAGTCCTGTTTTACCCATAATGCAGTGGTCTGTAGTCCTGTTTTACCCATAATGCAGTGGTCTGTAGTCCTGTTTTACCCATAATGCAGTGGTCTGTAGTCCTGTTTTACCCATAATGCAGTGGTCTGTAGTCCTGTTTTACCCATAATGCAGTGGTCTGTAGTCCTGTTTTCCCCATAATGCAGTGGTCTGTAGTCCTGTTTTACCCATAATGCAGTGGTCTGTAGTCCTGTTTTACCCATAATGCAGTGGTCTGTAGTCCTGTTTTGCCCATAATGCAGTGGTCTGTAGTCCTGTTTTCCCATAATGCAGTGGTCTGTAGTCCTGTTTTCCCATAATGCATTGGTCTATACTCCTGTTTTACCCATAATGCAGTTATCTGTAGTCCTGTTTTACCCATAATGCAGTGGTCTGTAGTCCTGTTTTACCCATAATGCAGTGGTCTGTAGTCCTGTTTTACCCATAATGCAGTGGTCTGTAGTCCTGTTTTACCCATAATGCAGTGGTCTGTAGTCCTGTTTTCCCATAATGCATTAGTCTATAGTCCTATTTTACCCATAATGCAGTGATCTGTAGTCCTGTTTCCCCATAATGCAGTGGTCTGTAGTCCTGTTTTACCCATAATGCAGTGGTCTGTAGTCCTGTTTTACCCATAATGCAGTGGTCTGTAGTCCTGTTTTACCCATAATGCAGTGGTCTGTAGTCCTGTTTTACCCATAATGCAGTGGTCTGTAGTCCTGTTTTCCCATAATGCAGTGGTCTGTAGTCCTGTTTTACCCATGATGCAGTGATTTGTAGTCCTGTTTTCCCATAATGCAGTGGTCTGTAGTCCTGTTTTCCCATAATGCATTGGTCTATACTCCTGTTTTACCCATAATGCAGTTATCTGTAGTCCTGTTTTACCCATAATGCAGTGGTCTGTAGTCCTGTTTTACCCATAATGCAGTGGTCTGTAGTCCTGTTTTACCCATAATGCAGTGGTCTGTAGTCCTGTTTTACCCATAATGCAGTGGTCTGTAGTCCTGTTTTCCCCATAATGCAGTGGTCTGTAGTCCTGTTTTACCCATAATGCAGTGGTCTGTAGTCCTGTTTTACCCATAATGCAGTGGTCTGTAGTCCTGTTTTACCCATAATGCAGTGGTCTGTAATCCTGTTTTACCCATAATGCAGTGGTCTGTAATCCTGTTTTACCCATAATGCAGTGGTTCTTACCGTAACACCACCAGCTTGACGCGGTGGGCGGAGCTCTTGATGATGGCGGAGGCGTTCTGGTGGCTGCGGCCGAACAGGACCTGGTTATTGATCTGAAACATGTTTAATGGAATAAGAGATGATCAGGATGAGCAACACTGCCATCTGGTGGAAGAGGACTGAAAATACAACGGCAGGTCTGAGACTGACGAGGAGCAGGACATGAGCATCGAACGTCCACTTTAGAGTCTGTGGTCTGAAAGTTACAGACCTCAGCTTTAACTTTCCATTTCACACAAACAGAATCTAGTTTTCATGTATTTCTGTCTCACATCTTTAGATCAGATTTTTCAGACCGAGAAGTGACAAAAAGCTCACAGCCAATCAGCACTCAGCCAATCAGCACTCAGCCAATCAGCACTCAGCCAATCAGCTCTCAGCCAATCAGCTCTCAGCCAATCAGCTCTCAGCCAATCAGCTCTCAGCCAATCAGCTCACAGCCAATCAGCTCTCAGCCTGAGGAGTCCAACAGTGACTGACATGTGGTGTTTGGGTTCTTCCCTCACCTCCAGCAGCTGGTCTCCGGTCTGGATCCTCCCGTCCTTCTCGGCGGCTCCTCCAGGACTCACCCCGACCACAAACACACTGACCACAGACCGGTCCCGGTTCCCGGCCAGACTGAGACCGAGTCCAGTCCGGTCTTTCTCCAGCTCCACACAGAACAGCTCTCCAGGGAGCTCTGCATATCGCTCTGAAACAGAGAACCAGGTCTGAACCAGGTCTGAACCAGGTCTGAAAGCAGGTCTGAAAGCAGGTCTAGTCCCGCTTTAGTCTTGCCTTGAAGCAGGTCTACAGCAAGACTAAAGCAGAACTAAAGCAGGTCTAAAGCAAGTCTAAAGCAGGTCTAAAGCAGGACTAAAGCAGGACTAAAGCAGGTCTAAAGCAGGTCTAAAGCAAGTCTAAAGCAGGTCTAAAGCAAGTCTAAAGCAGGTCTAAAGCAGGTCTAAAGCAGGACTAAAGCAGGTCTAAAGCAGGTCTAAAGCAGGTCTAAAGCAGGACTAAAGCAGGTCTAAAGCAGGTCTAAAGCAGGACTAAAGAGATAAGAACAAATCGCTGACGAGTGAAACTCATTATTGGAACAAATGGACCAAACACAAACTAAATGATAAATGACTCAGATCAGACCAGACAAGGACCTGGTTAAGACCTGTTTCAGACCTGCTGCAGACCTTGTTCAGCCCTGGTCCAGTCCTGGTTTACAGACCTTACCTAAACCCATCATTTGTCCCTGAAGCTTCTAGAAATGTCAACACTTTCCTTCTAATTTAGACCTGGTTTTCCCTCCGGCTTAGTCCAGACTTAAAGCACCTTTTTGACTCCTTGATCTTGATTTAGTTCTGGTCCAGTCTCGTTTTAGTCCCTTTTTAGTCTGGGTCTGGTCCGAGTCCCTGTCGTAAAGGTGACCTCCATCTCTGTGTTTGAGCCATAACAAGCCGCACTGACCTGGGGGAAGCATGGTCCATGGAGAGTCCTGGCTCAGACCGGGTCCAGACCTGGTTTAGTCCTTGTTCAGTCTCTGTCCTCTGACGCTGTGTTATTGTTATTGCTGCAGTGATTCTGTGTTTTCTCCTCCATTGCACTCTCTCTCCTCTGCCTGTCGCTCGCCCTTAACCCCCTCCCCTCCTCCCCCCCCTCTCTCACCCCTCCCCTCCTCTCCCTCAGTCCTGTATTTGCAGAGTCTGAAATCAGCTGGAGCGAGAGATCGAGCAGGAGCCGAGGGCAAGACATTTTGGCTCAAATGAACAGGACACAGAGATTTTCAAAACGTGTTTATTGTTAAAAGGTCAAAACAAAAATCTAAAACAACTTTTTATCCATGTGCAAAGAATGTGATCATGTGATTTAGAAGTTAGAAAAAGAATCACAACAACATATACTAACATTAAAGCTGGGGGTCGTAAGTTTTAGACCGATACAAGGCTGTGATAAACCCATGTTTATGACAGACTTGATCTAAAACTCCCTCGGCCAATCAGCTCTCGGCCAATCAGCTCTCGGCCAATCATTGAGTCAAGTAGTTCAAGACTGTTTCTGTTCAAACTACATGTGTTATTTACGAACCCCAGCTTTAAAGAAAGAGCCACCACCGCCTGCTGCACCCGACACCAGAGACCAGGGAGAGAGACACCAGAGAGAGACACCAGGGACCAGAGAGAGAGAGAGACCAGGGACCAAAGACAGACACCAGAGAGACAGACCAGAGAGAGACACCAAAGAGAGAGAGACTAAGGAGAGGCAGAGAGACCAGAGGGTTCACAAAGCCTCTCAGAACTGTACTGAGGCGTCACGTCACATGGTCCGGACTGATTTTCTCGGTTCAGTTCAAACTCTAAAGTGTTGGAGACGATATTAGGCTTTAGTCAGAGCAGATTTAAGTCAGTTCTGTGGAGACTTTGTGAAGCAGAAGGAGGTGATGAAGACGAGCTCCTGGTGTCGGGGCCGCGGCGTTCAGAGCAGACCTGCAACAACACCACAAAACACACACTATTTATTACAAAACACAAACTATTTATGCAGCCATTTCCAGAGTCGGGCGACAGAGACAGAAGGCTCTGGGTCTGGTCTGAAGGACGGGTTCGTATCAAGTCCTGGTGATTCAAGATGGCGTCCTGTTCAAATCCATGGCTGGTGTTCAGTGGCTCCTCACCGTGGGAACTGAAGAATTAGCGTAACTCGCCCATATTTGGGCATTGTCTGGTCCTTCCGGTTCTGCACAGTGGACGAGATCCCATGATGCTTTGCTGCATATACACCTGTGGGTCTCATGCACGTGCACAGAGGTGCTCGGCCGCGCTTTGACCAATCAGAGCTGCTGATCAGAGCAGAGTCAGAGCAGGAGTCTTCTGTGTAGCCCACGTGTACGTAGTCTGCAGTACCACTGGCGCCCCCTGTGGCCATGGGTGGGACAGCTGTAAGCTAGTAATACTCTATCCAGTTATTTTTATAGATCGCCTCAGACTCAGGTGCGCCCCCTGTTGGAGTCTGATCTGCACAACAACTGTCTTCAGCAGGAAACCCTTCTTCTGTCCTCCCCCACACGGAGGTCTGGGTCTGGATCCTGGTCCTGGTCCTTCTTCAGGTCTCCAAGTCTTCCTGAGCTCAGTGCTGTGATCCTTCTTTCTCAGATTCCAAACAGTTTATTTGCTTCACACCTGATGTTCTGTCTCTGAGTAAGAGCAGCCTGTTTAACCCCATAGAGGTCTGGGTCTAGGTCCGAGTGTGGGTCTGGGCCTGGGTCTTTGGTCTTCGCTGTTTAAACTTTATAAACTGAGTTTTTACCTTGTTCCTGGTCCGGCTCAGAGCCACCGCCTGATTGGCTGGGAGGTTTGTAAGGGGGCGGGTCTCTCAGAGTGGGCGGAGCCAACACAGGCTTCTGTAAAAACAGTTGATGAGCTTTAAAATCTGTGTTTGTGCTGAGGAAGAGGAGGAGGGAGAGGGGGAGGGAGAGGAGGAAGAGGAGGAGGGAGAGGAGGAAGAGGAGGAAGAGGAGGAAGAGGAGGAAGAGGAGGAAGAAGAGGAGGGAGAGGAGGAGGGAGAGGAGGAGCTCACCGGAGAATCACTCTTCTTTACTCTGTGTTTGATACTCGGGTCCAAAACAGACACCGGCTGCAAGAGACAAGGAGGAGAAGTGGAGAGAGGAGAGAGAGCGGAGGAGAGAGGAGGGAGAGAGGAGGAGGGAGAGAGAGCGGAGAGAGGGCGGAGAGAGAGCGGAGGAGAGAGGAGGGAGAGAGGAGGAGAGAGAGGAGAGAGAGAGGAGGAGAGAGAGGAGGAGAGAGGAGGAGGGAGAGAGAGCGGAGAGAGGGCGGAGAGAGAGCGGAGGAGAGAGGAGGGAGAGAGGAGGAGAGAGGAGGAGAGAGGAGGAGAGAGGAGGAGGGAGAGAGAGCGGAGAGAGGGCGGAGAGAGAGCGGAGGAGAGAGAGCGGAGAGAGGAGGAGAGAGACAGGAGGAGAGAGACAGGAGGAGGAGAAAGAGGAGGAGAAGGAGAGACGGGAGGAGGAGAGGGAGAGGAGGAGAGAAGAGAGGATTACAAAGTAACACTTACAAATCAGACTGAACTAACACATCAATAAAAAATCAAGAGATAAAATATTCCAATATAATGGGAGTAGTGTGCAGACAGACAGGGAGGACACGGGTCTAAAAACACGCCTACCCTGGGAGTGTTGGACAGACTCTGGACCACGAACAGGACTGGACTCTGAGCAGACTTTATCGCAGCCACAGCTTCTTCATGAGACGCCGTCCTGAGGTCCACACCGTTCACCTGCAGAGGGCGACGTTTATGTATTTAGCACATAGGGCTCTCTGGTCTCTCTCTGGTCTCTCTCTGGTCTCTCTCTGGCCTCTCTCTGGCCTCTCTCTGGCCTCTCTCTGGCCTCTCTCTGGCCTCTCTCTGGCCTCTCTCTGGCCTCTCTCTGGCCTCTCTCTGGCCTCTCTCTGGCCTCTCTCTGGCCTCTCTCTGGCCTCTCTCTGGCCTCTCTCTGGCCTCTCTCTGGCCTCTCTCTGGCCTCTCTCTGGCCTCTCTCTGGCCTCTCTCTGGCCTCTCTCTGGCCTCTCTCTGGTCTCTCTCTGGTCTCTCTCTGGTCTCTCTCTGGTCTCTCTCTGGTCTCTCTCTGGTCTCTCTCTGGTCTCTCTCTCTCTGGTCTCTCTCTCTGGTCTCTCTCTCTGTCTCTCTCTCTGGTCTCTCTCTGGTCTCTCTCTGGTCTCTCTCTGGTCTCTCTCTGGTCTCTCTCTGGTCTCTCTCTGGGTCTCTCTCTCTGGTCTCTCTCTCTGGTCTCTCTCTCTGGTCTCTCTCTCTGGTCTCTCTCTCTGGTCTCTCTCTCTGGTCTCTCTCTCTGGTCTCTCTCTCTGGTCTCTCTCTCTGGTCTCTCTCTGGTCTCTCTCTGGTCTCTCTCTCTGGTCTCTCTCTCTGGTCTCTCTCTCTGGTCTCTCTCTCTGGTCTCTCTCTCTGGTCTCTCTCTCTGGTCTCTCTCTCTGGTCTCTCTCTCTGGTCTCTCTCTCTGGTCTCTCTCTCTGGTCTCTCTCTCTGGTCTCTCTCTCTGGTCTCTCTCTCTGGTCTCTCTCTCTGGTCTCTCTCTCTGGTCTCTCTCTCTGGTCTCTCTCTCTGGTCTCTCTCTCTGGTCTCTCTCTCTGGTCTCTCTCTCTGGTCTCTCTCTCTGGTCTCTCTCTCTGGTCTCTCTCTCTGGTCTCTCTCTCTGGTCTCTCTCTCTGGTCTCTCTCTGGTCTCTCTCTGGTCTCTCTCTGGTCTCTCTCTGGTCTCTCTCTGGTCTCTCTCTGGTCTCTCTCTGGTCTCTCTCTGGTCTCCCTCTGGTCTCTCTCTGGTCTCCCTCTGGTCTCTCTCTGGTCTCCCTCTGGTCTCACCTCTATGATCTTGTCTCCAGTCTTGAGTCTCCCGGTCTTCGCTGCTGGACTCTGGTCTAAAACTTGTTTGATGAAGATTCCCTTCAGTTCTTCTCCGTTCCGCAGCCGTTTGATCACATGACGTCCTCCCACGATACTGAGCCCCAGGGACTGGCCTGGCTCCGCCCACACCTGCACCCTGAGCCAATCACAGAACAGGACACAGCATCAGTCAAAGTTAAAGGTCCCACTTCTCAACTTCTCTTTGTTTTAAACATCGAGACGCCTCTGTTCACATCACGAGCTGCAGAAGCCCCGCCTCCAGGAGGTGATTGACAGGTGACAAATGAAAATATATGACAACACTGTTTGACCCAAAGACAAAGAATCGACTTTATTCACCAGGATCTGCCTCAAATCTGTTTCTTTATGAGTGGCACTTCATTAAGGATTGTTCCAGAATGAAAGTTACCATAAAACTAGACGTAAGTAAGTCATATTTATTCATATAGCGCATTTTTCTCCGACCAAACACCATCCATTCACTCATACAATCCCACATGTTTTTAGTGGTGGGGGAAACCGGAGCACCCGGAGGAAACCTACACCAACACGGGGAGAACATGCAAACCCTACACAGAAAGGACCTTCTTGCTGTGAAACGAGCTCTAACCGCTGCAGCACCGTGTCGCCCACAGCTGACCGGGAAACACCGGTTATTCCCACGATAAATGAGGCTAACGGTGCCGTGATGCTAACGGTGCTGCGATGCTAAAGGTCCATGATGCTAACGGTGCCGTGATGCTAATGGTCCATGATGCTAACGGTGCTGCGATGCTAATGGTGCTGCAATACTAATGGTCCATGATGCTAATGGTCCATGATGCTAATGGTCCATGATGCTAACGGTGCTGCGATGCTAATGGTGCCGTGATGCTAACAGTGTTGTGATGCTAATGGTGCCGTGATGCTAACTCGCCGTTCACTTCTGTAACTAAATAATTACAGTCTGATTCTGGATCGAGGACACAGGGCTCTATTTGATGGATCTGAAAGTACCGCCATGAACCAGCGAACTTCCAACTCAGCGTGAGCTCAGGGCGGGGGGAGGCGGGATCGCAGAGGACGAGAGAGACCCACAGAGCCACCATTTTGAATTGAGAAGACGTAAAATGGTGGAAGTTTTGAGTGTGGTGATGATGAGGATGCACTGTGATCCATGAGGAAGAGCGACATATGGGCCGCAGAGGGGGTGGATTAACTCGACATGGGAGAAGTGCTCACTAGGGTTTAGTATTTTTCCCGAAAATGAGACGTATCAAATCCCGGGAAAAGACGACGCCTTTCCCGGGAAATAGCTGTTGTTTTTAGCCCAAGTAATGTATGACATCACTCAAATATATAATCCAACAAAAGCCGCCGTCTCCACTAGTGTTTCACCGAGCGACTTGCTTTTCTAAAGTAGCCATAGCGTTTTCAGACGTTTTGTTGATGGGCTTTCTTCAGGAATTTCACTATTATGAGATTCTAAATGTCTGTAATCCACTTGTCGACCAGTGACGTGTGGTTTGGAGGCACTGACTTCAGCCCTGTCAGATGAACATATATCATATAAATCAACAGAACCTACAGAGCGGCTTATTCACAATTAGTTTGGCTACAGCAGAATGTTTTCCATGGCCCGCATTGTTTGCTCAAACAAAACGCAAAAGTTCGTAAAAGGCACATTTCCAATTGTGTTATGGGTCTTACCTTAGTTATTAATGAACAGCACAGACCACTTCAGTTCAGACCAGTTTCATGTTTAAGTCCAGATAATAGTTTGAGCGCAGATACGTAATCCTCCATTTGGAAATAAGCCCAAAGAGTTTTAAAGCGTAAAACAAAACGGGTGCCACCTCCATAAACTCCTCCGTGTGTTCGCTGCAGCCGGCTCTCGGGCGCATCCAATTTCTAATATCAACCTTCTTACCCTTCACCTCTCTTCCTTATCATTCCTATCGTCATTGGAAGCAGAACATTACCCTAAATGCATTTTATATGATCTTAAAAAGTGTTATCTGTATGTTAGCCAAACCTGTTGCTGCCTTTAGCAGATGGAAAAAAAGAAAGGAGCTTTCTGATAGAATTGGACGTAACCAAATCCTGGGCTCACATGAGCCCCGTACCCTGAGGCTGGCCTCATTACAAGTCGTGGTTAAGTCAATTAAGACCCATATTTGTTTCAAAAACACAATTTATGAGCCATCCTCTCAGCTGTAGACATGTTGATTGTAAATGAAATATGTTTGAACTTTGAACAACAATAAACGTGCTCTATAAAAGGAGCGCACTGGATTTTTTTTTAAACTTTCATTTCCCGTTTCCCGTCATAACATTTCCCGGGAATCGGGAAATAGTTTTGATCAGATTTCCCGGGATTAAACCCTAGTGCTCACGGACATGATGACATCACAGGGGGCGGGGCTTACCTTCGTGCTGGTCCCCAGTGGCTGAAGGGCGGGGTCTCTTCCCCCTCCCCCTCCTCTCGCTGGGGGAGGTCACTGCAACAAAGGAGCGGTGTATTTTAGAATCATCTGAATTCACACTCTCTCCACTCTGGTCTCTCTCTCTCCACTCTGGTCTCTCTCTCCACTCTGGTCTCTGGTCTCTCTCTCCACTCTGGTCTCTCTCTCCACTCTGGTCTCTCTCTCCACTCTGGTCTCTCTCTCCACTCTGGTCTCTCTCTCCACTCTGGTCTCTCTCCACTCTGGTCTCTCTCCACTCTGGTCTCTCTCCACTCTGGTCTCTCTCCACTCTGGTCTCTATCCGTGCTCTCCTTGTTGGGTCTGGACGGCCGGGTCTGGGTAAGTTTGCAGCGGTTTCCTGGATCTGCTCACCTCTGGGCTCCTCTGATTGGTTGGTGGGTTTGGCCCCGCCTCCTTCGCCGCTCAGTATTTATGATTCGAACTGATCTGAAACAATATGAAGTCACAAATTATGGTCTGGTCGCTCGCTCTCTCGGGTCTCTCACTCGCTCTCTGGTCTCTCATGCTCTCTGGGGTCTTTTTCTGGTGTCTCTCTCTCTTTCTGGTGTCTCTCTCACTCTCTCTTTCTGGTGTCTCTCTCACTCTTTCTCTTTCTGGTATCTCTCTCGGCCTATCTGTCTCGCTCTATTTTTGATGTCTATCCCTCTATCTGTTTCCCTTTCTGGTGTCTCTCTCGCTCTCTGGTCTCTCTCTGGTCTCTCTCGTGCTGGTCTCTGGTCTCGCTCTCTTTCTGGTGTCTCTCTCCTTTTATAAAACACATGCTCTGATATGTTTTCCTGAAGTGCAGTTCATGTTTTGAGCAGCAGGGGGCACTAAGACACTGCTCTAAATGCAGCCAGTCTCTCTCAGGTTTAAAGCTGAGGAACGTAACTTTAGTCCCAACTAAAACACTTGGAGAGAGTCTGAAAGTCAAATGTTCTGAACCACTCAGACCCAGACATGTTGTTTTTGTGTAATGAAGATCCCTGTGAGTCACTATTGGACTCTTTGGGCTCTGATCTAAACATTTGCTTCTATCACTAAAGACATGGGTTCTATTGTTCTGTGGATGTGGTCTGAAGGTTACACACCTCAGATTTAAAGAAATGCAGGACTTAGTTTTACTGTTGAAGTTTTAATGTAAATGTTCTTTATAAATGTGTGTGTATATGTGTGTGTGTATGGGTGTGTGTATGGGTGTGTGTATGGGTGTGTGTATGGGTGTGTGTGTGTGTATATGTGTGTGTGTGTATATATATGTGTGTGTATGTGTGTATATGTGCGTGTATGGGTGTGTATGTGTGTGTGTGTGTGTGTGTGTGTGTGTGTGTGTGTGTGTGTGTGTGTGTGTGTGTACAGTGCCTTGCGAAAGTATTCGGCCCCCTTGAACCTTTCAACATTTCGCCACATTTCAGGCTTCAAACATAAAGATATGAAATTTTAATTTTTTGTCATTAATCAACAACAAGTGGGACACAATCATGAAGTGGAACGAAATGTATTGGATAATTTAAACTTTTTTAACAAATAAAAAACTGAAAAGTGGGGCGTGCAATATTATTCAGCCCCTTTACTTTCAGTGCAGCAAACTCAGTCCAGAAGTTCAGTGAGGATCTTTGAATGATCCAATGTTGTCCTAAATGACTGATGATGATAAATAGAATGCACCTGTGTGTAATCAAGTCTCCGTATAAATGCACCTGCTCTTTGATAGTCTCAGGGTTCTGTTTAAAGCACAGAGAGAACCATGAAGACAAAGGAACACACCAGGCAGGTCCGAGATACTGTTGTGGAGAAGTTTAAAGCCGGATTTGGATACAAAAAGATTTCCCAAGCTTTAAACATCTCAAGGAGCACTGTGCAAGCAATTATATTGAAATGGAAGGAGTATCAGACCACTGCAAATCTACCAAGACCCGGCCGTCCCTCCAAACTTTCATCTCAAACAAGGAGAAGACTGATCAGAGATGCAGCCAAGAGGCCCATGATCACTCTGGATGAACTGCAGATAACTGCAGCTGAGGTGGGAGAGTCTGTCCATAGGACAACAATCAGTCGTGCACTGCACAAATCTGGCCTTTATGGAAGAGTGGCAAGAAGAAAGCCATTTCTCAAAGATATCCATAAAAAGTCTTGTTTAAAGTTTGCCACAAGCCACCTGGGAGACACACCAAACATGTGGAACAAGGTGCTCTGGTCAGATGAAACCAAAAGCAAACTTTTTGGCCACAATGCAAAACATGGTGGTGGCAGCATCATGCTTTGGGCCTGCTTTTCTTCAGCAGGGACAGGGAAGATGGCTAAAATTGATGGGAAGATGGATGGAGCCAAATACAGGACCACTCTGGAAGAAAACCTGTTGGAGTCTGCAAAAGACCTGAGACTGGGACGGAGATTTATCTTCCAACAGGACAATGATCCAAAACATAAAGCCAAATCTACAATGGAATGGTTCACAAATAGACGTATCCAGGTGTTAGAATGGCCAAGTCAAAGTCCAGACCTGAATCCAATCCAGAATCTGTGGAAAGAGCTGAAGACTGCTGTTCACAAACGCTCTCCATCCAACCTCACTGAGCTCCAGCTGTTTTGCAAGGAAGAATGGGCAAGAATTCCAGTCTCTCGATGTGCAAAACTGATAGAGACATACCCCAAGCGACTTGCAGCTGTAATTGCAGCAAAAGGTGGCGCTACAAAGTATTAGCGCAAGGGGCCGAATAATATTGCACGCCCCACTTTTCAGTTTTTTATTTGTTAAAAAAGTTTAAATTATCCAATAAATTTCGTTCCACTTCACGATTGTGTCCCACTTGTTGTTGATTCTTGACAAAAAAATTCATTTTTATATCTTTATGTTCGAAGCCTGAAATGTGGCGAAATGTTGAAAGGTTCAAGGGGGCCAAATACTTTCGCAAGGCACTGTATATATGTGTGTAAATGTGCGTGTATGGGTGTGTATATGTGTGTGTGTGTATATATGTGTGTGTATGTGTGTGTATATATGCGTGTGTGTATATGTGTGTGTATATGTGTGTGTGTGTGTGTGTGTGTATGGGTGTGTATATGTGTGTGTATATATGTGTGTGTGTGTGTGTGTGTGTGTGTGTGTGTGTGTGTATGGGTGTGTGTGTATATGTGTGTGTGTGTATATATATGTGTGTGTATATATATGTGTGTGTATATATGTGTGTATGGGTGTGTGTGTGTGTATATGTGTGTGTGTGTGTGTATATGTGTGTGTATATATGTGTGTATATACGTGTGTGTGTGTGTATATGTGTGTGTATGTGTATGTATGTGTATATATGTGTGTATGGGTGTGTGTGTGTGTAACACTAGGGTCTCTCACTCAGTGTCTGTGTCCGTCAGTGTGAGTTCAGAATCGGCCTCAGACGCTCGGCTCTCTCCTCTCACAGACACTTCCTCCGTCTGTGAAACACAACAGGACATTTTGGCTCAGATGAACGAAGCATGGAGCTGAGAACAGGACTTTTAAATAATGCTAAAGCTAATGCTAACTGCACACTGCTTCTTTCAGTCTTCAACACATCTGCCCCTTCTACAACAGGCCTTTTTCCTCTGTTTGTGGACGTTAGCTTAGCAGCTGTTAGCATAACATGTCACATGGTCCCAGTCACATGGTCCCAGTCCTGATCTGGACTCACCTCCACAGATCTGGCTCGTCCCAGAGAGAGCCTCCACTCGTCCCAGCTTGGAGGAGGAGGTTTCTGCTCCTCTGTGGGGTCAGGGACCTCCTCTTCATCCACCGCCATCTCCAGGGTCAGGTCTGAGGTCCCAGGTCCCTCCTCCAGGTCTGAGGTCCCAGGTCCCAAGACGAGGTCTGAGGCCCCAGAGGAGTAACCAGGAGGTCTCAGGTCTGAGGTCCCAGAGGAGTAACCAGGAGGTCTCGGGTCTGAGGTCCCAGAGGAGTAACCAGGAGAACTCGGGTCTGAGGTCCCAGAGGAGTAACCAGGAGGTCTCGGGTCTGAGGTCCCAGAGGAGTAACCAGGAGGTCTCAGGTCTGAGGTCCCAGATGAGTAACCAGGAGGTCTCAGGTCTGAGGTCCCAGAGGAGTAACCAGGAGGTCTGAGGTCTGAGGTCCCAGATGAGTAACCAGGAGGTCTCAGGTCTGAGGTCCCAGAGGAGTAACCAGGAGGTCTGAGGTCTGAGGTCCCAGAGGAGTAACCAGGAGGTCTCAAGTCTGAGGTCCCAGAGGAGTAACGAGGAGGGCCTCCATCCAGGATCAGCTCCTCCTCCTGAGATTTAAGGAGAGGAAATAAAAGCTGAACAAAAAATCGTAAAGTTTTTGCTCCTGGACAGATCTCCATCAGACACTGCTCTGATCTCCGTCAGTGAGCACTTCTCCCTCTGAGATAATCCACCCCAGGATCAGAGGCCTCCGTCTCACACTGACTGCCCTGGATCGCTGTATACA